GTCTCTTCATGGGAATAACCCCTCAGAGGAGCCTCGGAATCTTTGTACGTAGGTGTGCACGTGCAGGCTTGTGTACTAGTCTGATTTGAGGTCTGTGGACGCAAGACTGAGGGGAGGGAACTAATGAAAGCAAAACTCTTTGTCAGTCTGACCGCAAGAGCGGGTGTTCGTAACTTAATTATAAAAGTGCAGATTACTTATCCAAATCTGCACTTTTATGAACTAGAGTTAAAATAGGACACTCCTTACCCATAACGCACTTTGGCTAGCTGAGGTGCTTTATGGGTGTGGAGTGGTCTTTTACATGTATTCTAATTAAGGAACACACTAATCAAATATAAATAGATTTTTATTGTTCGTGTGAATTCTTTTGAATTTTTAAGTAATTCAACTTTGGTATCACCTCACTTCACATTCAAACTCAGTGAAGTTCTGCATTTTACATCCTGCAAAAACACCTATCACTCTCAGGTACTGACTGAATCTTGGATTGCTACAATATTATCATGTGTTCCTATAGAATTGTTACCATTTATACCTGTAGTTTGCCACTGTAATTTTCCGTGCATGCAGTTTGTACTATTGTCATTTAATGTTTCTGACCTCCTAGCTGTAAATACATTCATATAACTGTTCAATCTCCTTCTCTGTACTTCAGGCCTCACTTCTCACTCAAACTCAACTCAGTGAAGCTCTGCATTTTTTTTCTCCTCCACCCCCCCTCCCCAATATGTTACATGCTTCTCCAGCTGTTTGAGATTCTCAATTACCTCATCATTCCCTTTATAATTTACCAATAGCTGCTTCTCTCTGTTAAAGGACCACTCTAGGCACCCAGACCACTTCAGCTTAATATAGTGGTCTGGGTGCCAGGTTCCTCTAGGATTAACCCATTTTTTATAAACATAGCAGTTTCAGAGAAACTGCTATGTTTATAAATAGGTTAATTCAGCCTCTAGTGGCTGTCTCACTGACAGCCGCTAGAGGCGTTTGCGTGCTTCTCACTGTGAAAATCACAGTGAGAAGACGCCAGCGGCCATAGGAAAGCATTATGAATGCTTTCCTATGAGACTGGCTGAATGCGTGCGCAGCTCCTGCCGCGCATGCGCATTCAGCCGAAGAGGAGGAGAGCTCCCCGCCCGGCACTGGAAAAAAGGTAAGTTTAACCCCTTTCCTTGCCATCCAGCCCGGCGGGAGTGGGACCCTGAGGGTGGGGGCACCCTCAGAGCACTATAGTGGTCCTTTAACTCTTTCAGCTATCACCTCCAAATTTCCCCTGCTACCTTTTGTTTCCAATCCCAATTGTATCCTTTAGATTGTAAGCTCACGGGCCACCTTGCTAAGCACTTTGTAGAAAAGAGCTCCAATGGCTAGATATCAGTTTACGGGCAGGGCTCTCTCTACCTCTTGTATATTGTACGTTCTCCACTAATTGTACAGCACTGCGGAATCCGTTTGGCGCTTTATAAATACCCTTAATCAATAAGTCATGCACAGCAAGACCAATCAGTGAGTAATATTAATAGGAAAAAAGGGCACGTTCACAATTTTAAGGATTTATTTCATTTTTTACACATAAAACAAAAAGGAAGAATATGATCTCTACTTGCCTGTCATAGAAGACAGTAGTCACAAAAATGGAATGGCAAATTACTGAATAGGAAAAGCACCAGACCAAAATGTGTTTCTCCTCCTCAGCGATTTTGAATGGCATTAATACAGGGAAATATTTAGAACTGTGATTGACAAGGAGGCATTGAGGCAACCAGTTCCTGGGAAGAGAAATACAGCACTGTCACTTTTTACATTGGGTTTTATTTTTCAGACTTTATTTTTTCTTACTTTTATATTGCAACAGTTTTTGGCCTGTTGATCCCTCCTTGACAATGTGTCCGTAAAATCCATTATGGAATGACAGTCCTGGTACTTTGTATGTTTCGACTTGTTAACACTTATTTAAACTCCATATTTAAATCACATGTGCATTGCTAAGTAAAATGTATTCAGAAACATACAATATCATTAACACATTTGGTTTTCTCCCTAGTGGTTACAACTTACCATGTACGCCTAAGGAAGTTCCAATTCAGCATTATTCTGCTCCGGACACCACCTCCTCTCATTCAAGAACCTCCAAAGGATAGACTCAGGATCTTCGTCAAGTACAGCTCGTTACATTTACCTCATAGTCCTAACATACACGTGTAACAGTCGGTAATGTGTTTTGTTTTTTATCTTAAGCACATCAGAGCAGACATTCAGAAAGTTAAATATTGAATGAGAATTCATGAGCCTTTATCATTATAGAAGGATAGAATTATGTATCATTTATAAAATGTAGTTAACCTTGGAATTAAAGAATGATCTGTGTCTTGTGATACAAATTCCGAGATACATGTATGTCCTTAATGAAATCTGGTATACCTCGGCTTTTACAACTCCTATAGGATTGACTTGTAGTTAAGTAGTTCAGTTTATAGTCTGATACTGAGATTTATTCTGCCATGTTAAATCTGTTTTTATTAATGTAAAATCTTAAAGGAAAATTATGCTAAGAGGAGGCTTAAGTTACCTTTAAATTGTGCTGCATTCTCTGAAGCCATTCTCGTAGATATGTAGTTAAGATCTACTGCTATTTAATTGTTTTGCTAGTATATGTCCCCAGTGGTAATTTTTGTGATATCTTTGTAAAAGAAATACCATAACCAGTACAGCGGCATATACTAGTTATGGTGCCCGGGTAGCACCCTCCCCCGCAATGCGAGTAGTCAAACCATTTGCCAACAGCTTTACTTCTTACTTGGGTCCTGCCTTTATGGAGAGCCTCAAAAGCTCCTTCCTAAAGCTTCCATCAGTTAGTTCTAAACTCTGCCATGCAAGGACAGCTGGTTGGATGAGTGTCAGCTGATTGCTGTCAGCAAATGAGCTAAGCCCTGCAGTGCCAAGGTTAGCACAGAGCAGAGGTCTTTCAGCTCTCAGAGAAGCAGTGACCAGTGCCTGGTGGATCCCGGGTTAGAAGTCAAACAGCAAATGGTTTCCCTAATTACAGGTGGGGGAAGCAAACACCATAACCACTACAGTGGAATGGTGTCTGGAGTGTTTCTTTAAGCAACATCTTAGCTTAGGCATGACTCACATTTTCTAACCTATGGTATCACAATGTTTTCTTTTCAATTTACGGCAGTAGTACTCAAGCTACCTCAGCTATAGTCTGCTAGAAATTCAAAAATGGCTGACCTTCAATATCACTGGATCCCTACTCAGAATGGTCAAAAGCAGTAGCGAATAGTTTTATGGGTAACACTGCATGTTACCTTTTGGGCGTAATTTCCCTTTAAAGCTTTGTGTGTTGTTTGGGCTCTGGTAATAGACGTGTGAGATTTGATAATTGGATGCTCAAATTTTGTATGTGCCTGTGGCACAGTTTATAGACTATTAAAATAATACAATGCAATGCCTGAGTTTGTTTTAACTACCTGTGCTCTCATCTTACAGTATAACCAGTTAGTAGCATTGTGTTTTCACACAAGCTTATAACGTTTAACTGGATTTCACATATCTATATTTAAACAGTATCATTTGTTTCTATAACCCAGATTTCACTTCCATCTAACCTAAGATATACTATACTGGGAATGATTATTTCTAGCAAATAGAATTAAAGGGACACTATAGTCACAAGAACCACTACAACTTAACCCCTTAAGGACAGAGGAAATTGTCCAAGTTCTGAATCAAAACAAAACCTAGAATTTGAGTTATGTTTGTTCAACCATAATTACATCTTTGATATTAAGTGCACCCACGCTTATTATCTTTTTGTTCACAAGAAACAGGGCTTCAGTTCACATCAAATTTATATGAAGCCTAATTTAATATGAACAAAATCTAGAAAACAGAAAAAAACTGCATTTAATTTCTCACTAAGTTGTGAATGTCATACTACTATTTTTATTGCAATAAAATACATGTTTGTATGCTGTGATGTCCCACAAGTTGTATGGGGTTTTATAAAGTTACAAGGTCAAATATAGCACTTGCCCACTTCAGTCTTCATGCCTGGAAATTTGACAAAGTGATTTCCTATGGAAAAGCATTGGATTGGCTTAGATCGTCAAGATTGATGATCTTAGCCAAGGCAATGGCGAACAACTAAGTTTAAGACCTTTTTACTCCATTCTGAGGTGTGCTGGTGCCTAAATAGCTAGTTAAACAATGTAGTGTTAGGGATACAAACATGTATTTCTAACACTAGTGTTCATTCAAGGATAAGATAATTCCAGTAAATGTAACCCCCCACTAGATTTAAAACAATACTCAACGCACTAAAAATGAAAAACAAGTGATTCATTTACTGCAGATTTCAAGGATTCTCCGCTCAGATAATGAAATACCGTATGTACTCTAGTATAAGACGAGTTTTTCGGCACATTTTTTGTGCTGAAAACCCCCCACTCGTCTTATACTCGAGCCAATATCTGTATTATGGCATCTTACATTGCCATAATACAGACCAGGACCGCCTGGCTCATTACAAGCCCAGCGGTCCTGTTGGGGGCTGGCAGAGAGCTGTAATTTACCTTTCCTGCAGCTCCTGTCAGCTCCCTTCTCTCTGCTCCGGTCCAGTCAGCTCCCCTGTCAACTCCCACTGTAAGTCTCGCGAGAGCCGCAGGGTCAGAGCGGCAACGCTCCGCACGGCAGTTAGACCGTGAGACTCACAGGGGAGCTGACCGGACCGGAGGAGAGAGAAGGGAGCTGACAGGAGCTGCAGGAAAGGTAAGTTACAGCTCTCTGCCAGCCCCCCTCCTACACAGCCCATCCACTTTTATTTTATTATTTAAATTTTTATTATTTAGATTTTTTTATGTCCCCCATCCCTGCTTGTTATATGGCCAGGGAAGGGGGCCGAAAAAAATCTAAAGAAATAAAAATTTAATATTAAAATAATTTTTAAAAAATAAAAATGCCCACCCCCCACCAAGGCTCTGCATCACACACACACACTGCATTCATTATATACACACACTGTAAATAAATATTCAATTAATATAATTTTTGGGGGATATAATTTTATTTAGAAATTTACCAGTAGCTGCTGCATTTCCCACCCTAGTCTTATACTCGAGTCAATAGGTTTACCAATTTTTGGGGGTAAAATTAGGGGTGTCGACTTATACTAGAGTATATACGGTAGTTAACAAATAGCCAGCCAGCCAGCCCAATCCAATGCACTTTATTTTAAAAAGTGTTGTACATGTCTCAAATTACCTCAAGCAGGGGTGTACAGGATATGAAATTCAAACCCGACAAGCCGTTGTATCATCTCACCCATAGCTTAATGCATAATTTTGTTGATTAGAAAAATACATGCCGTGTGGCACAAAAAGCATCGAAAAGACCTGTTAGAGGTGGGCCTAATGCACTCTATGCCTGTGATAGTGTAATGAGCAGTAGGAAGCATAAACTCTCCTATTAAATCTGTGCGTAGGGAGGTGGGCCTAGAAGTACAATCATTGTTGCAAGAAAAATAAAAATGCTGCAGTTATAGGTATAAATACATTGCATACACTTCTGAGTAATAACTCCAGATTTTGTAATTGTTTAAAAAATAAGAAGAATGCATTTGTTTTCATGATGGAGGATGGACTGTATTTACACTGTTCAAGTTGCGACAAATATGGGTTCAAGTATGATGTCTCCCCAGCTCCCCCTAGTGGACACTGCATCCATTGTACACAAGGAAACAAAAGCAAAATATATTTCCTGCCTGTTCATAGCAGCATTGACAAAAGGTCAATTGTTCACTTAACTCTGAAATTTCACTAATTAAATCTGAATGAAAAAACTGAGGCTAAAATAGCTGATCTACAAAATTCTCAACTCATCTGCTGTCAAGAGTCAGACATAAGTGAACAACCCTGTGTGTCTTTTTGCAGTATACGTGTTTGATAAGCTTGTATTAAGACAATGTTGCAGTAACTGTTTAAAGAGAACAACAATACTGAGGGGTATTTAACAAACCATCACATAGGTTGCAGTAACTGGTTACAAAAAACAAAACTGTGTTTACCAAGTACAGATACCCATTGAAGATAAAAACCACAAACATTAATTTTCACATAATTCAATAGCTTTTATTTGAATTGTTTTATTTGTCTTTGAAATGTTCATTTAATTGAGTTCCATGCTCATAATTCACATTATGATGCAAGTATTTTTTAACTTTGATATAATTCCAGAAAGCACAACACAATCCAAATTGGATACGCATTGTAAGATCTCGTCATAGAAACCGTTAAAAGGTACCTTGCGGTAAAACCAGAATGTACAGCAACAAAAATGTGAATGTTTAGGTGAAGAAAAAGAGATAAGTCAATTGTCCTCCCCATTAAAAGGCCAATTTGCTGACTGTGTGGCAGAAAGGTGAACACCACAATGCATGCTGTAATAATTCTGAGTCCTCATTGCAAATACAAACCAAATAATTCTATTTTTCAGCTAAAAACAGACATTTAATTCACAATGTTCTATTCCAGCATTAAGTGAACAGAGCAGTACAACATAATGAAAGTCTGCGTTCATACCATGTTAGTGGGGCACTCTAAGCATCATAGTTACTACAGGTGTTGGTAGTGGTTATGGTGCGATTAGACTGTCCCACAAACAAAAAAAAGCAGCACCCGTAGCCTGGCCACTTCTAAGCTGCAGTTAGAATGCAAAACCAACACAACCACATTAGCAGATGTTATTCTTGCTGTCTAGGCCGGACAGAATTGAAGTTGTAGAGGTTTAGTCTGCACATTATCAGTATGGTTGGACATGCCTGAAGTTCTATAAAAGCTGGGACTGGATATTGGCTGCCCCGACTTTACATGATTTCATGCAACCAAGACGTAACATTGAACATAACAGTGTTACAATTGTTTACACAGAATCCTCATGCAATACAACTAACAGCCTGAGTATACGGTTGCTGCATGCTGCTGGTTAGTACTTTAATGAAATCAGCATTTATAAACTAAACATTAGCTATAGTAGATTGACAGCACGGTTGCAAAATAACCACTGTTGGATATTCTCCTATTATGTAGTAGATATATCTTAATTCCAATGACTATGCAGTAGATATATCCCAAGGAATACATGCATGTTTTTTTTCTTCTACGTGTATTCATTGGGGTATATTGTAAATGAGCTTGATCCGTGAAGGAGCCTAGCAGGTAGCAGGTAACAAGAGTCAGCTGCGCTGAAGTAGTTATAGTTGAAATAGGATACTTTATGGGTGTAGAGTGGTCCTTTAATATCTTTGATAAAGCAATGCACCTGCATAAACACCAAATATACTGGTAATGAAATGGGAAAAGCATTTGGGCTAAATTAGCTGAATTTCATGTTAATCAGCATTTTAATTGTTCTATTCTAGCCCTTTGAGAGTGAATTAAACCTAGATATTTGGCAACTGAATAGTCAAGTCTCTAGAAGAAGAAAAAAAAAAACAGAATCCAAAAAAGCACAAAGAAACTCTAAGTAAGCCCTACCTATACGTATTATGCATGTCAGCCCCAGGATGGAGCGTACATAGAAGCAGAGGTTTGTACTGCATGTTCAAATGTGGTCAGATTTTTTTCTTCCATCCAACACCCAACACACGAGGAAGTATTGCTGCTCTATATCAGTTGCATAGTTTCAAACACACACATCTTATTCCAGGTGCTTTTTTAACACCGATAATCAGGGTCAGTTCAATCTTTCCATGTGTGTGAGGCCAGGACAGTCAAGGAATGTGATGGCTATCCATTTGGCTGGCTGCATATTCGTGAAAACCTACAGCAGCAGCACTCCCAAAGCATAGTCTGTTTGCTCTGTGCTATTATAGACACACAATGTAACAGCCACACTAATGCCATGTGATGGGGCATACCGGGGAAATGACAACTGACCAAAGAACCTCAATAGTTGCAAACTAGTCCATCTTTATATGGTTTTGCTCAAAATATCAGTGGTTCAGTAACAATGCACCCAAACTGCAAAAAAACCTAAATAACAACACAATTCAGTCAAACTAAAGCCCACAAACATATCACTCGTAGATGTACCTTATTCCTTTCACGCTGTCAAAGGAACAAGTTAAGAATCGTATAAATGTATGATTAAGATGGTTAATGTAAGTACACACAAATCGCACACAATACATGTATCCTCCCCTGTCTAAAATACTGTTTGCATTGCACTGGTACCAATGATGGGCACTTATTCCTTACACTTTAAATTGGGCTTGTTATCCACAATTATCTCAGCTAACAACCTAAAACCTTGTGTTTGTTGGAAAGGTACGTACTTTTCTTACCGGGAAGCTAGTGACAAGCAATGTCCGTTAATGTTTTCAGGCTTTCACTAACACCCAGTCTGAGGTGGACATGAATGGGTAGAGTCAGAGTGGACAGGTGCCATCTACTGTACACAATATATGGTTAAACTGTTCCTAAGGTAAGATGATGCCCAGGACCTCTGGCACCACAACAACTTGAATGATATTAAGTTTTTTGGTGCCCTCAGTGTGGGTGCCCAAAAGGTAGATCCCCAGATGTTGTAGAACTACAACTTCCATGATGCTTTTGTAATGCATTTAGAATGACAAAGCATCATGGAAGCTGTAGTATTAAACATCTGGGGATCTACCTTTTGGACACCCATGCTTTAGGGAAACAGAATTTTATTTATTTTTGCTTTAATTTACAGGAATTCTATTTTGTCATTTAAGCAGTATATCTAAACCAGTTGCCATTCTTGTAAAGTTGTTTTCCTATCTCCTTTTTGAGGTCTGATAGCGTACCGGACTACTTCACCTTCCACATTTCGTTCATTTATAGGTCTGTGCGTTCCATGACCAGTATGTATAGGTATGGTGCACACCTGCGGACGGTGTACAAAAGTTTGATGCAAGGAAAGGTCTACACATGGCGTAGATATGGCCCTGGTGGTTGACTCATCCTGTTTAGTTAAACACTATGTTCTAGCCTGCACATGACGGCTCCAATAACACAATGATCTAATGTGTACAAGAAACCCAAGAACCATCAGTATTAAAGGGACATTATAGGCACCCAGACCACTTCAGCTAATTATAAAGGTCTGGGTGCACTGCCTCTGTCAGTTTAATAGTGCAATTGTAATTATTGAAGTCATTGAGAAACTGCAATAATTACCTTGCACGGTTAGCTCCACCTCTAGCGGCTGTCTACCAGACAGCCCACTAGCGGGACTTCTGGGTTGTTCACCTCACGGACGCTGGATGTCCTCACGTTATACATTAGGATATCCAGCGTCACTCAAAACCCTGTAGGTAAGCATAAAATAATGCTTTGCTATGGGCTGTCCTAATGTGCTCTTGGCACTCGCTGCGCATGTGCATTAGGCCGGCAAAGGAGGACCCTGACTAGCGCCGAGGGACATTGCACGAATAGGGGGTCACTACTGGGAGCTATTGTGCTAGAAATACAACGTATGTGGAAGGAGGAAATCAGACAAACCACAAAGAGGAGTTTCACTTAGATAATTCCTTTTAGTGTATGAAGGATATGAGGAACAATAATGAACATAATCAAGAAGGGGACTTAGTATCTATGCTGCCTTAATCAATAGTAAGGAATGAGTGCCAACAGAAAGTAATGCCTAGGAATGAATGAATGACTATACAGGATATATTTTATAATAGACACACAGCCATACAGAGTATGCTTGATAAGATATCTTGCATCTGGCTGACATTTTGATGTGGTGTGCAAAGTATACTTCTCTTTATGAAGTCACTTTATGTCACAAATGGCAGCAGACACTCATTCTATTGACCAGTATGATGTGTACCAATAGGCCTACTGATACTTCACTCTGTAGGTATCTGTTGAAGGCACATCTAGGTGGGGGAATCATTGGACTCACCATGATGGTTAAAATCTGTTACAACTTTTATTTTATTTTTTATTTTACTCAAAGCAATTGGAAAAAATATACTTATACTGATTCATCTATTTGTAACAAACTGATATCAATCTTACCCAGGTCAGTATACTCCCCGAGTGGGCTTAGTAACAGATGATTGCAGCCCATCCCTGGGCATACAATACCACCACCGTTTTCTTAATATCAGGAATAATATGGAAGTAAAAACAGGAACCATAGTGGTTAATCTTAAAAGGGACACTATAGTCACACAGACCACTCCAGCTCAATGAAGTGGTCTGGGTGACAGGTCCCTCGGATTTTAACCCTTCAGATGCAAACATAGCAGTTTTAGAGAAACTGCTATGTTTACATTTGGGGTTCAGACAGCCACTAGAGGCACATCTGCAACACTGGAGGCATAGTATGTCTCCATTGCGCAGAGCGTCCATAGGAAAGCATTGAGAAATGCTTTCCTATGGACACTTTGAATGCACGCGGCACTTGCTGCACATGCGCATTCGGCTCATGTGGCGTCGGCCAGGGGAGCGGACGTCTGAGTGGGAGGAGAGGTCACCAACGCCGAGGGAGCCTGGCGCTGGATTAAGGTAAGCTGCTGAAGGGGTTTTAACCCCTTCAGCACCACGTTGAGGGGAACCCTGTGGGTGAGAGCACCCTCAGGGCACTAGTATCAGCTTTGTTTTCCTGACACTATAGTGATTCTTTAATAAAAGTCAATGGTCATGCAATAATTGCATTGGAGACCAACACCATGTAATGTCTGGTTTGTCTCAATAACCCCAGGTTTAATGAAAATACTTGTGATGGCACGGCTTAGAAACACCATATGGCTATGGATCTACAATAAAATATGTTAACGTTTATGTAGTTCTCAATTACACTATTTTTTTAAATTAGAATTAAAAAAAACAAATATATATTTGAGTAAACTAAGTAAACAAAATAAGTGCATTTATAAAATGAACAGTACACAATTAAAAGGCAAAATTTAAGAATGAAACAAACAAAAAAATCTTATCACTTAAGACATTCAACCACAATTACACATCACCCCCTTAAAACATAACACTTCAAAACACTCTTACAAAGGGTATCTTAAACCCATCTTTCGGTACAACAGCCTGATTAAGCATACTTGTTGAATTAAAAAAAAATGTATGAATAATAGCTAGCAATTTAGATGACACGGTAATGTATAAGTACAATTTCAGGAAGATTAATAAAAACACATAACTTTAGTTTTTTCATATGTACTTTGTACATACATTATGTACTTTTTTTCCCTACATATAGGGTCTATTATTCTTTAAAATAAGATGATAGTGTGAAAGGTTTGTCACTAACGTGATCACTGTTAAGCTATTTTTGCTGTTCAGTTTACAATTTTGCCAATACATTTCTAAGAGACTTTACACATTTTGGTAATACAATTAGAACTTCGCTAAGAAGCAACTACAGATTAAGAGCTTGCTATGTAGGTTTAACATGTTAATGCTCACTAATATCAGACTGGTCCCGTACATAAGGGCAGTCAAATCTGGAAATAAGACAAAATTGCTGTGCAATGAAGACATGGCACTAAGTCGGGATGGCGAGTGAGTAACAAACTGTAAACCCCTTTACACCGGTAAGTGTACAATGTAAAGCAATGCATATTTTAGTTATTGCACACAAAAAAGAACCAGCAATACTATTGCTACTTGCTTCACCAAATCCTTGTCTGCTGCTCACCAGATTTAAAATGTATTTTAAAAGAAAATATGGCTATTTATTTGTAAACATCCATAAAAGTAGACAAACGGGAAAAAATCAAAATGAGATTATGGCAAAATAACCAACTTAAACGGACTGACTATATGGGAGATCTGTTTAGTTCTTGCCTGTGTTATGTTTTGTAAGAGATGTATGACAATTGCACGCAGTGATTCATGTTGTGTGGAAAAAACTAAATGAAATATGCATTTTGCAACAATGAGGATCAGATAAAAATATGTTGAGCCAGTTTTATAATTGTTTTCTTGAGAAACCTGCGCGCAGTTTTGACCGGAGCTTAAATCATAAGATAACAGCAAACCCACTACCATCCATTATTGTGCATAAACAAAGATATATAAAAAAAAAAAAAAAAAACAGCACAAACATTCATTCACAAAAAGAAAAAAACAAAACCCAAACTAAATAATACATTCTTAATTATCTTCATCACGTTTCACAGGAAGGTTTGCGAATTATTGAACATGCTGTACCCTGAGCTTCTGATAGATGTCCAACGAAGTATTAACATGCTCCAAAACACGCTGATCATCACATATGTACATATCTTGCATGCACTAACCAGTTGCAATCAGGACACAGAATACAGTTGGTTACGCATTCCAAAACACATGATGACAAATACATCATGCAGCGTTATCAAAGTTCAAACCCTTTTAGTGACAGGTGTGTCCCATGCCACTGTCACTCAAAGAGTTACTGCTCAAAAAGGGTGCACATCAAAGGAGGCAATTTAAAATCTCCCCAATAAAACCTGGATATCACTCTGTGCAAACAACGTTTCAGATAAATCACTAAACTGGCAACTGACCAGGTGACCGAGGAAATTGCAAATGTTATTCAAGGTGGAGAAATCTTCTCGATTTTGGCCTAAACGTTGCAAATCCATTCTCAGCTCTCCACTATTCCGGTATTAGTAAATAACTCTGATTGGTTGAAATTTCAAATGACATACAGCAGTCTTAATTCTACTATTGTCATTAATATGATATGCATATCATGGCACAACCTCTATTTTAGTCATTAGAAAGACACGTGCCACTCACGAACACAAAAGAACCCCTCCTTCCCAAAAAAGTGTGATTTACACGATGCCACAACCAGTAACCTATTTTATCTACAGGTCTTTGTAGAGTGATTTTTACAATGTATCAAGGTTCTATGCGGTTTCTTCCCCAATAGCTTTGCAAATCAATCCTTGGTACCACGTTTTTACAAATAAAAATCTAGGTACACATTCAGTGGTAGATACAATTTTCCAAAAAGGAATTTAGAACTTCATAACCAATTATTCAGTACAAGGATGCTGCATGCTTTGCCAGCTATTTCAAATTTTATTTACAATAATCCAGAACGTTTGGAATTTGTATCTGAAAAAGTGTCAATTAAAAAAACTCGTAAAGTGGAAATAATGAATTAACATGAAACTAGAAATGAACAGTTTGATGCAAGCGATCGTAGTGAACCAGGGAATAATAACGGCACAAGCAGATGGTAAAGGGATAAAAGCTTCTGAACCGCTGCTACTTGTGTTGTATGGGCAGTACTGTATTTGATGGGTTACGGAGTTGATTCACTTGTTTAGAACTGGAAAAACTGAAACCATTGAATTGAAAATGTAATTGGTTTGAAAAGTAAATCTGCAGGTGATGGGGTACGGTTAGAATACACCTATAAAAATTCAATGATATAAAATCGTTGTCTTGTTTTTGTTTGTTTTTTTAATAAAATTTTTAAGAGATTAAAAAGTAATGAAAATATATAAAGGTCCAACTTACCCAATATAAAAGAGTTTGTTTTAAACTTTGCACTGGAAACCAAAGCTCACACAGAAAATAATCTTTTTGTTTTGTTTTTATCTTTTCATGCTGTGCCCATGAAAAAAAAAAAATATTAGAACCTAAGGAATTCAGATAATCGTTAGTATGGGGAAATATATATATATATTTTTTTCCATATTTAACAATGTTGGTTTCTCAATACTTACAAAAAATTATATTATTATTAATAAAAACAAACTACCAGTTGGCTCAAGTTTTCAAGCTGTGGCTTTTGTGCTGTGATTTGAAAGTTGTAACGTTTTGGAGTTTCACACTTTTCATGTTTGCGAGAATGTTGTGCGCAGAAATCGAAAGACGTCTAGACGCCTAAAATAGCTCTTCATGTTTGTGGAAAAATAAACTTCCCAATATGGGAGGCGATGTGCTTGATGGTTACATGTTCAATCGGCTGTCTTCGTCTGCATGTCGTTCTATATGTCCCACGGCATCCTGAGATTAGAACAAAAACCATCAGTAAAATAAAGTTTCAATCTGACTATTACCCTGTCACAAAGTAACGTTGTGGACGGGTAGTGTACAGCCATGGAACAAAGCCTATTTTACTGCACGTGTAAGTATCATAGTACTTGTAACCAAAAACCAAGGTTACAGATAAGTGTTACAGGAATGATATTAGGGGTAAAGGAATTGTTTTCAATACTAGTAAACCGTTTCATGAAAACTAACATTTACAAAAAAACAGCAAACTACACTAAAAAGAAAACTAAAGGTAAACAGGCACACACTGAAAGACATTTTGGTGATAAACACTGAGCTATCTCATCTGGATCAAGTAATTTGTTACCTACCTGTTTGGAGCCCCTTCGAGCTGTGAAAAAAGCATCACAGTTTTTCCATCTGCATTTCAGTGTCTGGAAATTTGGGTTGGTGTGATCAGTAAGCAGATGTTGCTTGAGGTGCTCGGAAACACCAAAAATAAGTGTGCATCCATGCCACTAAAACACAAAAAAATACATATTAAAGGGATTCTGCCATAAATCTTTATTTTTTAAAATGTTTGCTTGCAACACACCACAGAGCTTGCCCAAGAAGGTTACATATCAAGTGCAATACCGATGTAGGCATATCCTAGCTTAAAAGAAAGCAGTATCATCATCCATTTGCATTTTTAAGATGCTGAACAGGTGGGCACATTCCTTGCTAAACTGGACCAGCTTTGCATTAGATGGGGGAACACAAACTAATCTTTATTGAATATAAAATGCGCCTTCATGTGTGGAGTGACATTTATCAAGTCATAATTTCTATATTTGATAACTATATCAGAGAGACAAATAGTTTAAAACTGCTTTAAAGCAAGCAAATATGTATATATTTTTTTTAAATAACCATTCCGGTTGGCAAAGACGCTCCCTTTTTATTTTGGCACCTTCAAATAAAGGATCACAATAAGTGTATGTGCTGGACAATTCTTTTTCATGGCATCCTGCCGAAGAAGACACCTGATGTGACCTATTCATTGGGCTTCTCAGAAGACTACAGCCTCAAAGACGACCCAGCAGTTCCACCACATGTACAGGCTAGTGCTCCTAACCCTCCAACCCAGGAGAATAATGCTAACTCCACCAAAGCAGTCAGTAAAGCTCCACAAGCACTGTTCAAGGCTGACCTGGTGGTAATTATGGAGGAGTGACACTAACCGCTACAGATACTGCAATACACATCCTGGAGAATAATGATGCCGACTTAAATACACGTTTCTCACAAAAAGATTGGGTTTGTGCCCGAAATTTCCAAATCAAGGGAGTTCCTGAAAATATTTCCAAATAAGAATTATCACACTATCTTTGTCACCTTCTCTCCAACGTTTTACACCTAAACAGCTCTTGCTGGAAAGTTGTTTTTGGATGATCAAGACTACAGGGGTCCTCAGAAGGTTTCCAGGGATGCACTTTCAAGCTTCTGAAAGACGCAGATAAGGCTGTACTCATGGGGAGCGGTCTGGTTCTCCCATGCAGCCACCTGAAAGGTCCTAACCTTCTACAGCAGGAGTGCCCAAAAGGTAGATCCCCAAATGTTGTAGACCTACAGCTTCCATCATGCTTTGTCATTCTAAAGGCATGCAAATCATCATGGGATTTGTAGTTTTAGAACATCTGGGGATCTACCTTTTGGGCACCCCTGCTCTACAGGGACCTTTCAAGCAAACAGTCATCAGGTGACAATCCATTCCACGCTTATTAAGCTGCTATGTGACAAAGAGATGATTCCTTAAAGTGGTGACCCCAATGGCTGTTGGTGGTAAAGAATGGCAATATCTTTACTCATAATGCAGATGCATCTACATTTCTCCATACTTTGGGACTCAGGCCAGACTCCTTGCCATTACAGGTGTGCCACAAATGGAATGTTGACACAATTGTACCCTTTGTTCCTGGACCTAGCACAGACCTAGCTTCCTAACTGACTCAGCTTCTTCACAAGTTTCCATACTTATAATATAGTTAACCTGGCTCTCTAATCTTTTGTTCTGTGTAATTTATGCAGATTGTCCCCCTTTACATTTTCCCTTACATATGGCTTGTTTCACAATTTTGTATAAATTATTTTAAGTCCTTTCTCAGGTATCTTATTCTGGTTGACCGATTTATTTTTTTTGAGTCTAGCGTGAGCTTAAAGGAGCACTATGGTGCCAGGAAAACAAACCTCTTTTTCCGGGCACTATAGGGTTATTAGGTGTCCCCCCTTCAGCCACTTACCTTAATCCAACACCGGGCTCCCTCGGCACTGGTGATCTCTCCTCCCCCTGCCGACGTCAGCTCAATGCTTTCCTATGGACGTCCAGCGTGTCCTCAATGCGATTTTCGCATGGAGGATTGCGGAAGCGGCCTCTAGTGGCTGTCAGGGAGACAGCCACTAGAGGCTGGATTAACCCTCAATGTAAACATAGCAGTTTCTCTGTTATAGTGGTCATTCATTCAGCTGAAGTGGTCTGGGTGCCTATAGTGGTCATTCATTCAGCTGAAGTGGTCTGGGTGCCTATAGCAGTCCTTTAAGCCTATCATATGCTATTTATCATATGCCTTTTATGGCAATATATTTTGCTGCCATTTTCCAAAATTTGTGGCGCATACATATTTATACATTTTATCTATTCTAAACCACTTTCAAAATTCAAAGATTTTTTTTTTTTTTTTAAACTAGCTTAAGTTTGTAAATGTATGTTTTATATGATTACATTTCATCTTATGAATCCTATTTGCAAAGGTGAACAAAATTAAGATATACAGTGCACCGTGCACAAAAATAATTTAATGATCGTTAAACTATTATGTAGGATTACAAAAGAACTACTTTTACATCTGGTTAACAAACATTATCCTTACCCAGCAGCGGTAATTCTGCATTAGGTTCAGACGCACAGCTTGAACAGTGCCATCGTAACAACCAGTATAAATCTGTAAGACAATGTAACTAGTTATGGACACTTAAATATACTTAAATACAAAAAAAAAAAAAAACATTTAATTAACTTAGCAAGGTTTACATTTTTGTTACTGTTAGGAGTTCTCTGTAAATCTTACTACAAATCAGGATTAAAGGACCACTATAGGCACCCAGACCACTTCGGCTCAATGAATTGGTCTGGGTGTCAGGTCCCTCTAGTTTTAACCCTGCAGCTGAAAACATAGCAGTTTCAGAGAAACTGCTATGTTTACACTGAGGGTTAATCCAGCCTCCAGTGGCTGTCTCACCGACAGGCGCTTCCGCGATTCTCACTGTGAAAATCACACTGAGATGATGCTGACGTCCATAGGAAAGCATTGAGTAATTAAAAAAACAGGTAATGCTTTCCTATGGGCGGATTGAATGCGCGCATGGCTCTTCCCGCGCATGCGAAGCGGACGTCGGCAGAGGGAGGAAAGTTCCCCAGCACCGAGGGAGCCCGGCACTTGAGAAAGGTAAGTGGCTGAAAGGGTTTTAACCCCTTCAGCCCACCGGGAGGGGGGACCTAATTACCCTATAGTGCCAGGAAAACTAGTTTGTTTTCCTGGCACTAAAGTGGTCCTTTAATGTATTTTTTTACAATCAGATCACATTTTACAGCAGTCTACTTTGTCATTATTTGCAATCTTTGCTTTATGGCACATCATTTGCAGAGTATGCAGACCGTTTCTTGTTTTTTAAGGTTATCAGGTAAAAAATGATATGCTCAAAACAAGAGGCATCTGCTTGCACAAAGCAGCGGGGTCTTTGGAAATCACACACAAAGGAAAACAATACAGTGTTCAAAATACACTTCAATTAAATCTCAATTACATTACGGGGACTACAAATGAAAAAATTCAGGCTGGATGGGGAAGGCAAAATACCCATAAACAAAATAAAATAAAAATCACTGTTTGCTATACCCAGAATGAAAACATCCATACATTTTATTAAGCATTTTTTCATTTGGGTATATCTATATACAGCTTGCAAAAACTGCAGATCTCTTTCCTGAAGCCATTGTAAGCCCTCCCCATACTTTCTGTGGCTGTCCAATCACAGACGCTCTGAACAATTGCTGCCTCTTGAGTTTAGCTGCACTGAGCTACTGAAACCAGGAAGTAACAGAAGCAGTTGTCTAATTGACAGCCAAGGGGTGTAACAAGGTTAATTTAGAAAAGTATAAATTTATATTGAAATCTGCACTTGAAAAGAAAAAAAAAAAAAAGAAAGAAGAATAAAATAAAATTAAAGACACAACCTTCATATATAAAACACTTCAGCAAGCTGGGGTGTTTATTTAAGCACAATGGGTCCTCTCTCTCTCTCAAACACACACACCACACTACCTAATACCATATAGGTCCTCCTTATGCTCTCAAAACAGCTGTGATGCGTCGAGGCATGGACAAGACCTCTGAATACGTGGAATCTGGTATTAGCAGCAGATCCTTTAAGTCTTGCAATCTGCGAGGTGGGGCCTTCATGGATCAGATCTGCTGTTCCAGCACATCCCAGATGCTCGATTGAATGGAGATCTGGGAAATTTGGAAGCCAAGGCAACACCTTGAACTCTTTGTCATGTTCCTCAAACCATTCCTGAACAGTTTTTGCAGGGTTGGAAGGTGCATTATCATGCTGAAAGAGGCCACTGCCATCAGGGAACACCGACATTCATGTGGATGTTACTTTGACACACACCACCTAACTAGAGATTCTTAAAAACCATGTACACCCCTTCATGGCAGTGGCCTCTTTCAGCAGCCCATCAAAAAAAAAAAAAACACAATAACAAGGTGCTTATAAATAGACTCAGGAAAAGAAAGAGCAGAGCGTAAAAAATGGAATAGTGAATGAAAAAAAGACATCAAAAGCAAAGCTTATATTCAACGAGGAAAGAGAGAACACAAACATTCTCAACACTTAACACATGCGGAGTTATGCCCTTGATCTGTAAAATGGTCCACGATTTTATGGTATGAAGTATTCTGCACTAGTGTAGTTAATTCATCCATTGATTATATCAATCTTATTTTATATTTTAATCAGAATAGAAAACCACCACGAAACAGCCCTGTAACCATCTAGTGAAATAACAATTATTCATATATTATTTATAATAAAAAAAAAAAAAAAAAAATCAAAGAACTTTCAGAGTCTCACCATGCTTTTGTGAATTGCCATACACATGATCATATCTGAGTGTCCACCATATACTTGCAAACGATCGTGAGACTTTAGGAAGAAAAAAAAAACAAACAAAAAAAACAACTCACTTTTTATTTAGGATAAATGGTCAGCAAATAATAGACATTTATAAAATTATCGACGGGCTGGCTTCTTGACACGGACATATTTTTACCATCACATATGTAGACATAAATAGTGATGTCCCGAACGGTTCGCCGCGGACTCATCATTGAGTAAACTTTGACCCTGTACCTCACAGTCAGCAGACACATTCCAGCCAATCAGCAGCAGACCCTCCCACCTCCTAGACAGCATCCATTTTACATTCATTCTGAAGCTGCATTCTTAGTGAGCTGTCCAGGAGGTGGGAGGGTCTGGGAGAGAGGGTCTGCTGCTGATTGGCTGGAATGTGTCTGCTGACTATGAGGTACAGGGTCAAAGTTTACTCAATGATGCGTCCGTGTGAACCGTTCGGGACATCACTAGACATAAATCAATATATTTATCTGAAAAAATTTACTGATGTCCCTTTAAATTACAAATAGAAATCTCACAGCAAATTCTACGAAAGCGAAATGGAGGAATTCAAACAGACCTTGTGCACACAGGTTGTAAAGTAACAAAATAAATACACGAAAACACGTTAAGAGGTTTTAAGACCTGTTGCTCTAAACGGTGTGTTTTAGGAGTGTTTTAAAGGTCAAATAAAGGAAAAGGTATAGGTTAAAATACTGCCTAAACCTTTAGAAAAATATTTAAGCAATGAAGAGAAACTAACAAAAGTTATGTTTGAGTGTGTAGTAGGACTCTCCCACCCATCAAAGAAGGGTTTCAATAAATAACTGGAAATGCTAATTTTACAAAGTTAAAGGAATCTTCCAAGCACCATAATTACTACAGCCTGCTTAATGGTTATGTTGCTAGAAGCGCCCTGACACCCTCCAGTGTAATTTGTCCAACACGCCTGGTAGGAGAATCTGGTTAGCTCCACTGAGCAAAGCAGGACTGCACTCATTTGCTGAAAACATATCTCAGACAATGGCTGTGGTCCTGGATTGGCCAGGCTTGGCTCAATGACGACCTTCGGCTTTGTCCTGCAGGAGAAGATCTGATGCAGTGTCCCAAAACATTTTGCCAAATTTCACTGGGGGGGAGCCAGCGCACCATAATCAATAATGTAAAGGTTATGGTTTGTGGAGTCTTCATTTAATATTTTCCATATGGTATCTTTAGCAATAGCCTTTCTATCATGAAGCAAATACATATAGAAGTAAACTTTTAAAAATCTTTTCTTCGAAACACCCAAAAAGTCTACTTAAAGGGACACTCCAGGCACCCAGACCACTTCTGCCCATTGGAGTGGTCTGGGTGCCACCTCCCACTACCCTTAACCCTGCAACTGTAATTCTTGCAGTTTTTATAAACTGCAATAATTACCTTGCAGGGTTAACTCCTCCTCTACTAGACAGCCACTAGAGGGCACTTCTGGGATTATAGTACAGATTTTCTGTGCTTCTGCGTCGCTGAACGTCCTCACGCTATGTGAGGACCTCCAGCGTCCATTAAAATCCCCATAGAAAAGCATTGAAAGTATCTTCAATGCTTTCCTATGGGGGGTCTAATGCGCGTGCGCGGCATTGCCCGCCGGCTGACGGGGAGGAGCGTGGGCGGACCAAGAAGCGGCGCAGAGGGACATCGTCGCTGCCTCTGGTTTTGACCCCTTCAGCAACCGGGGATGGGAAGTGGGAGGGAGAAAGGACCTGCAGTGCCAGGAAAACTGATTGTCCCTTTAAATTACAGTATATCAGGAAAAATAAATGCTCTCTGGATACTAGATTACTTATGGTGACAGATATTGGATTCTGCTACTCTATCTGCGATGTACAATGACTGGGAGGAGCCTGCTCTCCACGTTACAATGACTGGGAGGAGCCTGCTCTCCACGTTACAATGACTGGGAGGAGCCTGCTCTCCACGTTACAATGACTGGGAGGAGCCTGCTCTCCAAGAACAATGACTGGGAGGAGCCTGCTCTACACGTTACAATGACCGGGAGGAGCCTGCTCTACAAGTAAACTGATTGGCAGGAGAACGCCCTCTAAATGTTAAACAAGTCTGTAGTTTTTTTATTGTCCATAATTATTACTAAAATTCATACAAAATGGTCATATAACTATTAGTAAATATTACTGCACACAGACATCGACTCTGTAAAGACATTTTACACGAATACTATTTTTTTGTTTTTTTGTTTTATAGATAAACTTTAATGTGGGATGCTTACCTGCAGTTCATAAACACGAACAAATTTATCCAAACAGGCTGTCACCATGACTTTCCCCAAGATATTAACCACTGTAACTGCATGGTTGTGACCTTTATAAATTCTTATTAATTCTCCAGTCTAAAAGAGGAAAGACAATACAGAAATGAGAAAATCCTCTTATCAGACAATCAAAGTGGTATATACCTTTCATATGCTGGAACAATAACCATTAAAGAGGCACTAAACCTTATAAATCGAACAGAAACAAAAACTTTATTCTTCAATTATCCCTAGCACTGCTCATGGTGAACCATGTTGGGGAGTGTGTAGCTAGCCAATCAACAGACAGCGTCAGTAACTGGATTTGCATCCACAATTTATATGTCAGCATTTCAGCATGCACACTTTATATCCACAGTGGGAAAATTACCAAAGTAAACCCAAAGACTTTTCGCACCACAACCACTACAGTAAGCTGTACTGTTTATGGTGCTTAGAAGGTCCCTTAAGTAATGTAAAGTATGAAGGGGGGAATGTTAACCACAAGCAAATGTTTCTATGAAATACTGTTAACAAATACATGTAAAGGGAGTGCAGATAACACTGCCATAAGTCTACACTGTACTATGTTTAGGGGGACATTATATTTTACATTGTAATAGCTTAGCTACCAATTACAAACATATGAATTTTACGACAGAAATTTGCTATGAACCCATTTTTTGCACTCCGTGTAAGGTGGCACAGGTTTATAAATTTGTTATTGCAGTCGTTTGTTAGTTTGTATTTTTTCCTTAAAATATCTACTTAACTTACATGGATATTGTGAGCATGGACTGACTGATCGCTGGATCCACTGAACACGAGATCATTGACAACCTGTTGAGAAAAAAGGGGGGGTGATTAAAGGAAAACCATAATTATTTTTTCCCCCATACCATTTTAAAGATAACAATGTAGAAAACTGACTTGATTCGCATGCTATCTAGATATTCTAATAAAAATAAATATGCCTAGATATAGAAAAGGTCAAATATAGTCACCAACAGCTTTTCATCTCTGACGCACCATACAGTACCCTAAAATTCACAGCGTTCGTTAAAATTATGTTTATATTATGCAGCAATGGGGAAATGTTGATTATGTTGATTGATTGGCACTCTCTTGAAATCAGAATCCACTTAAAGGGAGAATAGAAACATAGAAACATAGAATGTGACGGCAGATAAGAACCATTCGGCCCATCTAGTCTGCCCAATTTTCTAAATACTTTCATTAGTCCCTGGCCTTATCTTATAGTTAGGATAGCCTTATGCCTATCCCACGCATGCTTAAACTCCTTTACTGTGTTAACCTCTACCACTTCAGCTGGAAGGCTATTCCATGCATCCACTACCCTCTCAGTAAAGTAATACTTCCTGATATTATTTTTAAACCTTTGTCCCTCTAATTTAAGACTATGTCCTCTTGTTGTGGTAGTTTTTCTTCTTTTAAATAGGGTCTCCTTTACTGTGTTGATAAGCACCAAAACAACTTCAGCCTAATGTAGCAGTTTTAGAGCAGTCTCACTGCTCACTGCCCTGCCATTTAGGCTATTACTGTTCCTTTTTATGGAGTCCTAGGCACACCTCTCCTGACTGACTCACACAGCTTGCATTAAAAAAAAAATTTAAAAAAAAATCAGACCAGCACAGTGTGTTCCGTTTACTCACCCCAGTAAACATTTGAATTGCATAAGTAGTTCTGTGGAGGTAAGTAAAACAAATGCACTTAAAGACACAGTCCACTGCCTACACATACACAAACAAAATCACTGTTTAGTAGATATATCCCAAATGAAAATATGCATTGCATTTAATTATACGTTTTTCATAGGGGGGTATATCTAAAAACTGCCTGTAAAAGCTGCAGAGCTCTTGTCTGCTGCCTTTGCAAACCATATCCTTCTAATCTTGCCCAGACTTTCTGTGTCTGTCTAATCACAGTCTTCTCAATGCAGCGCTATGAGAGGTTTTTGCAAGGCAGGTGCTGTGGGCAATTGCTGACTCTTTAATTTAGCTAAACAGGATGAAATAGGACTAGCTGTCTGACAGCCAGGGGGGTGAACAAAGTTTATTTATAAAAGTGGCAATTGCTATTGATACCTGCACTTTTTTTTTTTTTTTTTTTTATACAAAGAGGACACAATCTCCACACCTAAACAAGCAAATTATCTACAGAGAATTGCCGTACGAGCAAACACACGCTAAAGTATTTTATCCATACTGCTACACACACACACAAACACACAGCAACACTGCAGGGTTTATATTTACATTCAGACATTGTTGCAACAGTATCTCCTCACCTTCATACAGAGAACAGTTTTGGTATGTCCTTCCAGTGTACGAAGCAGAAGACCATTCCGAGCATCCCGGACACTGATGGTACAATCATAGGATCCTACAAGAAGCAGTCTACGACTGCCCTCTTGTGCTGTTGCCAAAGAGCTAACTGCCCGAGGACCATGACACTCAAACACGTCAAGCTGCTTGTTGTTCTTGAAAAAGATGGGGGGAGAGGGGGTAGAATAAATGAAAAATACTACTTAATGAAGATACCTGATGACCACTATAGAAACTTAAAATACAGCAGCATCAGGATCGCCCCAAACAAAGCAGGAAGGAGGTCATTCCACTGGCAGATACCAGGTAATTGGTGTAGTAGTATACAATACAATATCAATGTAGTAACACATAGACAGTGATATAGCTTAGGGTCACAACCCCCCACCCCCCAGTGGATTGCAATATCTCACCGTATTCACAATGATAGGTGTGTTTTTTTTGTTTGTTTCTTTATTATGGAACTGAATCCTTTGTTGAAAGGCATTGTGGACAACCAACCCTACAACCTTATCTCTAAGCTTTAATTTAGGACACAGGCTTCCAATTGCCTTTCAGCTGTTTGCTTCCCTGTGTCTGGTAAATATTAAAGGAACAGGTGTCTGCAGAGTACTAAGGGAAATGTAGTGCAAGGCGAGCCAAACTTTCAGAGAAGCATTGAAAACTCTGAGCATTCTTGTTAAATGAAAGCCATTAAAACATGAACTGTGTGTGTGAAACGCTGTACAATATGATCAGAATGCTTTAGACTTGAGAAAGGGACGTTCTCCCGAAAGCTTGTCATTCCAAAATTCTGTAAGTCCAATAATAAAAGGTATTACAAGATCTGAATTTCATCTCTGATTTTAAGTCTGCATCACTGGACTAACAGTCTAATAATAGAGTGTAAAGCAAGGAGATAGATATATACACACACCGTATATCTACCTTTGCTTTGCACTGTATTATTTCCCTGGATATGGAATGTTGATTTCACAGGCTAAAATTAGCGCATGATTGAATTGTGGTAGACTTTTTAAATAAGTCTATTAAGTGTCATATTTCAGTCATTACAGGATAGCATTAGTCTTGTTTTCTCATAACTGTTGCTTTAGTTTTGAAGATTTTTATAAAAAATAACTTCTCCAATTCTGAAAAGCTACAAACTCCAGTTCCCAGCTTACCTGCTCACAAATCTCAAACTGACTGCTAAAATAATTTATCTGATACAGACTGCTTATTATGAAAGCATAAATGTAAAACAAAATATAAATGCAATGGAATGTTCATGTACAAAATCAGGAAGGGTTAGAAAAAAGTTATTTTACGGGTGGGGAAAGGGGGGCACAACACTTACCTTAAGGGAAAACGTGACCACTGTCCCGTTGGCAAGCCCTGCATAGAGGATTTTCCAGCGTGCATGTAGACACAGGACTCTTTCACCAAGATTCAGCTGCTCAACAAACTCCTGGGTCTACACATAAAATGTAAAAAGTACATCTATCTTGAAATCGATCTCCACAAAAAAGGATCTCGCCCATGCATTAATCTGCTAATAATCTGCTTTTCTATGCCAAGAAAAGAACACAAACAGCTTAATGACTATTTTATAAAAAGAGAACTCAATGTCCACTTACAACCATGGATGTACACCTACCTGAAAGTACCTGCATTATATCCAACATCATCTGGAATAAGCCCTGGCATATTCCCCTCTATGTGACAGCTTACTAAAGCACACTTTGATTTAGTGGTGGACGTGACACAATAAGGAAATATGCTGCTACTGAATCAACATGTGTCTTACTTGAAAGGGACTTTAAGTAGACTTTTAAGATAAAATCGTGCACTACTACTGTGTGTGTGGACTGTAAGCCATTGTAGCTATTTGGCTAGTACAACTCTGGCACATTATGCACTTTTCATAACAATGCAAGTATATACAATGAAGTACTTCATACAATTAATTTTGTCAATCAATAAAGCAGCAGATTTTGTACACGGCAGATTTCACACATCACAATATACCACATTCAAAAACAAGACAAGGAATGGAGCATAGACACGACTTTATGCTATTTTATACAGCAATATGGAGGTTATCACCCAACATTTCCCACTGTAGTGGTTATAATGCCAAGTGTACCCTGGTGCCATAGCCCAGTAATAATGGTTTGCCCTCTTAAGTCACTGCCAGGCGCCTGGTCTCCTCTGATGGCAGGTGTGGCGGAACCTGCCTCGCCACTGGACATTGGAGAGGCCTGGCTGCCCGCCTCCTACCTGCTGACTATGGCCCCTGGTGAATTTGTACATTTGAATGCAATATTTGGGCATGTGGTATTTTATATTGCTGCTACTGGCCCTTTAAGGGCCATCCGTGGACATATTATGACTGTTAGGAACAATGACATTTAAGACTGTGTAGCAGATTGCATTCAGGCTGTATTTAATATTATGTGTTCGGTAAACGGTGTTATGTGTATGCAGCATTCGTCTGATTGTTCGGTAGAATCACTCTATTCATTATATTGAGTGAAACTACCGAACAACCAGACCACCCTGGAGTAAGTGTGCCTCCAATTACTGTTTGCAACAATGTTGCAAACGGGTAATTGGCAATCGATGTAATGTGTGGTTTTGTCCTCTGGGTGGCCGCCATTCGGGAAACGAACACATGGCGGCGGCCATCTTAAACTCCCGAACAGCGGTGTTTTGCCATCGAGTGTCTGGAACTAAAATCGGACACTCGACTAGGCAAACACTGCTGAGACCTCCAGACTTCCATGAATTCGTGTGGAAAGAACCCCACGAACAAGGGAATTCATTTAAACCCTCCCCAGGCTCTATAACCCAGGCAATTCGTGTGTTTTCATTCCCATTTCTGTGACCGACTGCAGGGCCAAAATACATGGAACTATTTTCGGATACTTTTGCCATGCAGTCGGTCAAAACTTGAACCCTCCATAATTCCCGAACCCCTGGTCCGATCTGGGTGATTTTTGGATATGTGTCTCACCCAGATCAGGGCTACCAGGGGATGTAACATTTAAAGGGGTAACCCTATGTTTAGGGGTACATCCAGTAACCCAGGGAATTTGTGTCTGTACTAATGGGATTATGTGTCACACTAAGGGGAGATGTGTGGGAGGTAACTGGTACATTATTGGCTGTTATAATAATAATTATTGTAAATCCCTCTCTTGCATGGGAGAATGTCTTAAAAGGAGGTTGTGTGAATAAATCTTGAGTTCCTGCTTAACCCTCAAAGTGAAGTGTCATCTCATTATTGGGGGAGGATTTATGGTATGCTGACTGCCAGGAGTGTAACCCTTTCGTATGGTTTTCCTGTTCGGATATTTCCAGTGTTCATGTGTTTCCAGTTCGGGAGATCGGTGCTTACAGTAGCTGTCGGTGTAGCTGAGAAAGGGGAATATCGCCTAAACGGTTTTTAACCTCTGGTGAGCAAAATGGTCCGTTACAGCAGGCTTATGACATCCAGCTTGTGCAGAGCTGCAGAAGGATACCAATCCTGCAGGTCATTCATTGGATAAGAGCATCAGCTGACTGCTTTCAGCAAATGAAGGAGTCTCTGTACATAGAAACGTGCACAGAATTTACATTAGCCAACCATTTTAATATATATAACTGATTGGGCTAAAGGGACTCTTCAATCAGTGTAACTAGTCTGAGTTATTGTATGGGTTATGGTTCAAGAAAGCTATGGGCGCAGTCACTCTAGTTTGTATCAAATCGTTTCCAAGTGGTTTAAAAAAAAAAAAAAAATACTGAATGTTTACCCAGGTATCCAAAGCTGACCTACACTGTATGAGATGACCAAAATAATAATACAGCATAAGCACACGTTAAAACATTCTTAACACAAGGGGTTAACAGGATACGGCAGTGCCTGATCATTACAAACCTTCCACACTTGGCCAGATTGTCTGCAACCTTTACAGACTGGGATCCTGAGGGACTGAAAGGCTCAATCAAGACTTGGCTGCACCAGAGGGGCTGATCAGCAATATCTTGCTTTACACCAGTGTTCAGAGTCTATCGCTGTATAGTGTGAGCACACATCTAAATAATTGTATACTGAAACGATAAGCTGTAGCAGTTACTGTGCTTGGTGTGTCCCTTTAATATTTAGTTTATAGACATGCTCTGTTTAAAAGAGAGAGAGTATTTTATGGTTACAATACCTTGACAGAATAACATCGTACGGTGTGGTCACTAGATCCAGTAAAAAGCATTGAAGACTTCCCATGCGTATGAGTTACAAGGAGACAATTCACTTTTGATGTGTGCCCTTCAAAGACGCCCACACATTGCCGGGTCTGAAAGACAGCCAAGTAGACAAAGATCTTAATTTTGTTTCCAACAGCTTGGATTGTAAAAAAAAAAAGCACAAGCCAGCGTGCTTCACATCAATTACAATCACAGAACAGTCTTACAAATTAAAAATACAAGCCCTGTTATTTTAAAAGCAGTGAGTACAATTCTTACTGAAAAAGACCTAAAGGTTTAAAAAAAAAAAAAAAAAAAACACACAAAAAACAAAAAACTTTAACACTGTTAAAATTGATTTAAGTTGGTCTTATTTGACTGACCAACTCATCTTTCATAAATTGAACAAGGTTAACTTTGCCCAAGCATAAAGACTTCTTCCCTAAAGACCCAATACGAATTAACAGGTCACGCATCCTAGAAACCGCTTAATTACAAAATTAATGTTTATCTTGGTATGACAAAGTAATACGGTGTGGGTATATATGGTTATTCAATAAACCAGGAATTTCACTGAGAAGGCAACTGCAAAACTTGGGACAACTTTCATATTTGGAAAAATTCTCCAAGTGGTTTTCTCAACTCTGTTGTTTTGGCATAGCATTCATAACTCCTTAGTCAATTCTCCACAACTCAGAGTTTAGTAAATAAACTAGACAGGCGTAAAGGGACACTATAGTCACCAGAACAACGACAGCTTAATGTAGTTGTTCTGGTAAGTACAGTCAGTCCCTGCAGGCTTTGTGCAGTGAACACTGTCTTTTCAGAGAAAAGGCCTAGGAACACCTCCAGTGGCCACTTCCCAGATTGATACGAGGGGTGCTTCCTGGGGCAGTGCTGCACAGGGTCAGAAATATGTTGGTGTTTCAAGTGAAAGATCATCCTGTGTCTAAGTTAGATGTGTGTAATTTTCAGAAGCAACATATTACTTGCCCTAGCTTCATTCTCCTTGTTAGTGATCAGTTGCACAATTCATGTGTCTGCTATAAATATTCCAAAATGAAAAATATTTTTGTTTATTAATTCAATGAGGCAACAAAAGCGTGAGACATCAAAAGCCTGGAGTCACTGGGCAAATACTTCATTGTAGAAAACTAAGAACCAGGAACAAATTGTAAGTTTCAACTCACCACAATATTGTAGGCATGGACAGTTTTGTCTGCAGAGCAGGTGTATAGCAAGCCAGAAAATATCTGGATGGCATTGACAGAAGCGCTGTGTCCTTCAAAACGTCCCTCTGTGGGTTCCTCATCATCTCCAGGTTCAGAGGATACTTCTAATAAAGAGAAACTTGATTTACTAGAAGGAAAAGCACTCCAGCACCACAAAAAAATAAGCCCCATACAAAAAACAAAACCCAACAACAAAAAATACTAACCTGAAGAATTCTTTGACTGCAGTGATGCTCCCTGGTTATTAACGATGCTGCGTGGTAAAGAAATAGAAATCAAAAGCATGAGATACAACTGAATCTCTGTCTGTGGATGATTCTGAGAATTGCCACAGAATGCAGACCTGTTGGACAGTCTGCAATAGTTCATCACATAAAAGAGAGGGGAACAGTAATGTATGTTTACTGTAGAAACTCTGAAGACAATCCAGATGATACAAGGTTGTCATTTTTGTTACATTATGTTTAAATACGTCTTTATGAGAAGTCATATTTAAAGAACACTACAGCTCTTTATAGCCGTTGGTGCTATTGTCTATGGGGGCCAGTTCAACTTTTTGTTCAAATCTGTTTGGACAGATTATTACTTGAAAGCGCCTCTCCTCCCCGACCTCCCTCCTCCGGCGATGGGGAATGACGTCTGCCAAGGAGGATCAGGATAAGGGGAGAACTTGGACTCTGCCATGAAACAGGGGTGTATTGTAGGACCACTACACTAAGTGTTTATGAAAACACTGTTTTTTGGTTGAAATAAACCCTTTAATAAATTACCCCCTATGTTTTAAAATGGAAGAAAGGTTTCAGCCTGAACAGTTTCTGGTAAAATAACATTAATATTCACCGGTTCTAACCGAATTGTACTTTATACCACGATTCTCTATATGTAAAATGACTCACTCTTGCATACTTTCGTCCATGTAGCCTGTGCAAAGTTCACTGGTGGATGTTACTTCATCATATACCTCTGAATGGCCTTTGCTTGAGTTCACAATATTCATTTTAGATGGGCTGTCTGGTTTGTCATCTTCAAAATGAGAGTCTATAGTTACCACCTCAAACTGCTGAGTAGGAATTTCCACCAGTTCCACCTCAGAATCACTGTCATTATCCCCTTTGTTTGTCTCTGCGTCTTGAACCGTGACTTCATGGTCCTGTTCTAGAGAAGTGGAAGTGCTAACTGTGGCTTCCTTAGAATATCTGCGACCTCGAACTTTCCTTAATGGTTTCAAGGAACAGGTGTCTTGTTCTGTGTCACTGTTGTCGGGAACATGAGCAGCTCTTAAGGTCTTTTTTTTCCTTAATTTTTTTTTCTTCTTTCCTATTTTTGTTTCAATAATTTGAAGAGTTGACTCTGCTTGTTGCTCTGCTGGTGGACTAGCTAAACAGTTATTTGCTTCTTGTGAAGACATAACAAAAGGTGCAGTTTCGTTATGCATATGGTCTTGAAGTGAGACGACCTCAACCTCAGAGCTGCTATGATTTTGCTTTATGTTGTCTGTTGAATGGATCTGTGATAGGGATTGAACATCTGAATTACTAGGCCTATCAATAGATTCCTCTCGATTTAACAGCGGAAATCCGCTGGTCAGCTCTGAAAGGGACATCGTAGCTGTAATGATGGGATACACAGATGTAGGCTGTTCAGCCTCACCTATGAAGTGAAAAGGAAAAAAAAAAAAAAAGAGGAGAGAAAAACAAATGCTACTAAAATCCCTTACAAAGCATTTACAATAATAATAATAATAATAATAATAATAATAATAATAAGACACAAACAAAACACAAAAAGTAAAAAAAAAACTCTCCCTAAAGTTAGGCCATATGGGATAAAGTGGGCTATACTCAGACAGAAGAGAAAAGTCTGTGTGCTGAAAGTCTACTCCTATGGTGGTCTCTCCTCACTTACATTAGGCTACTTTTTGGCAGGCTCTATACAGAAAATATTAAGAATTGCATTTCTGCAGAAGATCGTCCAGTCCATCCTCCTGCAAAAAATAAACCTGGGGCACTATAGAGGCTCTTTGTCTATTCTCAAAATTCCTTGGGCACTATGGAACGTAGCCAGTTCTGAATGTCCAACAAGCCAATGACAACATGGACACCTCTTAACATGCCCAAAGCAATTATTAGGTTCTAGGCATATACCTCATCGCTAGGGGCCCCTCTAGATGCAGAAGTGGACGAAACCTGAATTTAGATTTATCTTTACCGTGAGCATTCCTCACCTAGAGGGTCCCATGCTTGTCTGGTTTGACTTAACTTTTTTGTATACCAATATATTTTTTTTTGCAAGTGACCACTAACAGAGACTTGATTGTGATGCTATTTATAATTAGGTACAGTTTAGCAGTTGCAATCAGTTTATCAACCAGTTATTGCCTCATATTTCTAATATGTAATTTGATCTATGTGTACATTCTGTATTGTTAGGTTAGTGTATTTTGATTGTACTCTGATGATAACACACAGTAAACATACAAGTTACACGAAAAAAATTTAAGGGCCCTTTTGGGAACTATAACAACTTGGGACCTTCTCTCTCCATAACAACTTAATTGCAATGAAGTAGTTACTGTGCCTGGAGTGTCCATTTAAATATAAATGTTTAATTTTGCCATTGTTTCTCATAAATTTGGAAACAAATACAAAACCTCAGCATAATTAACTTGTTAGGCACAAACAATAAGTAAAACGGTTTTGTGCTGCAGAATAGGTTCCATGAAGAAGATGTACCATTGGCCTCTGGAGACGTCACCGCCCGGACAGGTGATGTGACCATGTTTTCCTCTCTCATCTCGGGTGTACACCGCTCTTGTTTGATTGCTACAGATGAATCAGGAACAGCAGGTGCCGAATTGAATGAAGGCGGGGTGCATATCCGTGCTGGAGTCTGTAGGGCGGTACTTGCTGCTGGTGCGTTAGAAGACAGATAATGTGGAGTCTCCAAGAAAAAAGAAAAAACATTCCCAGGTGGCACAGGTGCTTGTGGCAAACTAGTGTTTGTTTCTTCTGTGATATCGCTGGCTGGTTCATAGGTCCCTATTTAAAGATGAAGGTTTTGATATTGAATAGCAGACTGTAGACACAATGGTTTACATCAAAGGTTGCAAAACAGACCATAAACACAATGCGTTCTCAACAAACAAACATAATATGATGCAGGAGAACATTACCTTGAAGGCCCTGTAAAATCTGTATTCTCTGTGTTCTCAATGTACTCATTTCCATTGTTATCTGAGTAAAAAATGTTACATTGTGAAAATCATTGCTAAACATTTTTGCAGGTGAAAGAGCACGGTCTTACATTTGTCTGGATTTGTCTCACACTAGATACTTGGTCACGGGTGGCCAAAACATTAGATCTAGCATTATAGCAAAGGTGGGTATCTACCTTTTGGCCCCTATTCTTGGTGATCAAAGCTTAAACCCACAGTTTGTTTTACATCATTAAAGGAACAACACCAATTTCCATAACCACTACAGCATAGCGGAGTAGTTTTAAGAGTGATGGTGCACACCCGGGGTAAGTAGTCAAACTGTCTGAGAATGGTTTGACAACTTATCTGGGGTCTGCTGGGCACCAGTTGCTGCCTCCTCTGGAAATAAATGAACTTTATATTGATCACACTGACCAGAATTGGGTTACTCCTAGCAAAAAAAACATTTATCTTCTAGGGCTTATTGCTTATACATTTTAAATATCTTAAATATTCTTTTGTGGGCAATATTCTCCTTTAATCGTGAGAATGGGCTTAAATAAAACAGAAAACTAGAAGGACCAAGGCCAATCATTTTCATTAAACATTTCTGCATACACTGGACTGACCTTATTAGTTATAAAAATATGGATGTTCAAGATTTGTGCACTGTTAGTTCATTATTTCCATTACGGTGAATCTGTCATAACGTACATATCATAACAAATGTGGCAAGTCCAACAGTTGCTTTCACAAATCAATATATTTCCTAGAAAATCTCACCAATCGAATGTATACATCACATATTAATACCCAACATGTTCTGAATGTGTCCAATAATGAATGGTGCATTACTGAATAAAGTAAATGAGACAATACCTGTTGCTTTTGGACAAGTAGGTGCTGAACCTCCATATAAGCAGCTTGAAGTGCAGCACGGGCTTGAAGAAGGCTATTATCCATTGCAAGCAGGGAATTATTAAGCTCCTCCTCTCTTAACGAGATAGATAGAAGCTGGTCCACCTGAGAGCGCTCTTCAATAAATAAAGATATACAAATATAGATATTTTTTAAATCACAATCAATAAATGCACACTTATTGTTAAAGTCTGATATAAATAAGCACACAGCCTCTTGTCCTTACAAGGTCATTGAAATTAGGCAATAACATCCCAAACACACATCGCCTTCCTATTTAACCCCTTAAGGACACAACATCAGAAAAGGGAATCATGACGGAATATTTCCGTTGTGTGTCCTTAAGGGGCTCAAAAGTTAAATTAAATATTATCCAAATGTGTAATTTTAAATAAAAATCATCACGCACAAGGTAAAATTTATTCCAGAAAGGGAGCTACAATCAAAGTTTTCTGATGGTGCCAACACTCTTTATCAATAATGTGCACCTAGAAAGTGACTTTTCCAAACAAGTACACACTAATCACCCTGCTTTACTCCTTAATAATGCATTAACATTAACAACTTGTACATTCCCAGGCTCCAATCATCTCTATTTTAGAACAAAGTATGCATAGACTGGATTTCTCCCATAAATTCCTACACAGAGTTTAGAGGAAATGCAGAGAAATAAATCCATGTACAAATTTAGACACTAGGGGGAAGAACAGGACTAGGAAATGCCTGCTGCATTATAAACGAGGGCATTGTTATATGGAAAGTCAAATTAGCTATTTTATTCATTACTGTCCGTTTAAAGAAACGTATCTTTAGAATCTACATTTGTAAACTCTATAGAGCATAAAGGCAACCATTTTGTGCATCTATGATCTGAGTAGGAGAGAGGTATTGAGCACATGAAATACTTTTGCTCATCCCATTTTTCTGCAGGGACTTTATACAATGAAAACTGCAACAACAGATATGAAAATCCATTTTAGTTTTTCTTTGTTGAGTTAAAAAGAATCGCTCAATTGATAGACTGGTTTGTAATTCAAGATGGCTTACCCTTTCTTGCACGTATCTTTCTTCTTTTGCTGTTTCTTTCTAAGCTTGGTATTTCAGGACAAGAACAATCCTTAAAAGAAAAGAAAAAGATAATAACTGCATCCTTCCCTCACAGCGTTAATAGGGACATGTATCAAGACAGACCTTTGTTCACGTAAGTGTGAATTGTAAGGAATGCAAAGTGAATTTCAAACTGTGGGCCAAAATAGCCAAGCTGGAAATACAATTAGAAAAAAGTGGAAAGACGAGAGTACAATCCAGGAGCCCGGAAATATATCAGGGGTTAATGGATTGTCTCCACGTGGAATGTCTATGATCGAACTCCTAAATGGAGAGAGTAATCCTAAAACCAGTACATATATGAAAAAGGAACCTGCTTTAAGGAGAGGGGTCTTAGTGAGGCGAAAGACCAAAAAAGAGGGAACCGTAAATCTAAGCAATTATGTAAAATAGATTTTTTTTTTATTTTTTTATTTTTTTTTTAAGATTCAAAATGAGGGAGATGGACTAAATAGTGCTCTGGAAATCTAATAAGAGACCTAAAATAGAAGGCTGGTTACCAGGGTGATAGGGATCTACGATATGCTCTGAGTGTCACACCAGGTCCTTAGCCTTGTAAGAGTCACTAACTCAGTGTAGAGGTAGGGGCAGGAAAAATAATAATAAAGGTAGAGGTGAGGGAATGTGTTTTACACCCCACCTCTTATAGACTGTAAGCTCGTTTGAGCAGGGTCCTCTTCAACCTATCGTTTTCTTGTAATTTTCCTATTTATAGTTAAATTGCCCATCTCATAATATTGTAAAGCGCTACGGAATCTGTTGGCACTATATAAATGGCAATAATAACAATAATGATGAGGAAAAGAGGCTATATATCCAAAGCTTCAATAATAAAAAAAACTAATCTCTCCCCTAAAACACCTCGGCCCCTTGGACAAGCCACTGCCTACCTGAACCACTCTCGCTTACTGAAGTCAAACAAAAGAAAGAAAATGTTTGGGTTTTTTCCTTTATCACTACACTAGGTAGTACTTGTTTTGGCTGTATTACTAGTCAATACACACTCATGTCATAATGTATTACTATTAAAGTGACACTATAGTCACCTGAACAACTTTAGCTTAATGAAGCAGTTTTGGTGTATAGAACTTGCCCCTGCAGCCTCACTGCTCAATCCTCTGACATTTAGGAGTTAAATCCCTTTGTTTATGAACCCTAGTCACACCTCCCTGCATGTGACTTGCACAGCCTTCCATAAATACTTCCTGTAAAGAGAGCCCTGTTTAGGTTTTCTTTATTGCAAGTTCTGTTTAATTAAGATTTTCTTATCCCCTGCTATGTTAATAGCTTGCTAGACCCTGCAAGAGCCTCCTGTATGTGATTAAAGTTCAATTTAGAGATTGAGATACAATTATTTAAGGTAAATTACATCTGTTTGAAAGTGAAACCAGTTTTTTTTTCCATGCAGGCTCTGTCAATCATAGCCAGGGGAGGTGTGGCTAAGGCTGCATAAACAGAAAAGGTGATTTAACTCCTAAATGGCAGAGAATTGAGCAGTGAAATTGCAGGGGAATGATCTATACACTAAAACGGATTTATTTAGCTTAAGTAATTTAGGTGACTATAGTGTTCCTTTAATATGCCATAATTTATTACTAGTCAATACTATAGTGTTAGGATACAAATATGTATTCCTAACAGAATAATGCCCTGGTCACCTTTTAGGCGACTGGGCTCCTGTTGCAGGGGTTAAAAGGGGTAAAATACTCCATTATTTTGTGGAAGTGCATCTAGGGGCCGTCAGAATGACAGTCACTAGAGGCATGTTAACCATGCAATGAAAAATGTTTTCAGCGGCAATGTTAAAACATGAGGGATATGGCACCCATACGACTTTACTGATACCCTTTAATGTAGTGGTTCAGAGACAGCCTCTAACTGCAGGCTCGCTTTGTTTACATTGCTTCCTGGGTTTGGTCCAGCAAAGATTGCAGGACCGACATTCAGCATCTCTGCACGGAGATGCTGAAAACTCCCCATAAAAATGCAGTAACTCAACAGATTATTTTAGCGCTGCAATTTGCCGTGCATGCGCACTAACATTCCCATTGGAGAAGCATTGGATTGGCTGGGATCATCAAAATTAATTAATTTAACCCTCACCCAGGGAGGTGGGGTGGCCGCAGCAAGACCGGTATGACAATGACAAAAAGGAATCCAAACTTTTTTTTTTTTTTTTTAAATACACAGAGAGGGGGTCATCTAAACAGTTAGTAGAAAGCTACAGCGTTAAGGGTACATTCCTAATGCTGTGGTGTTCCTTAATCACAATTACATGAGTGTGAAATATTGGACTTACTCCTGTTGCCCTTCTTTTTTTTCCAGTCCCTTGTCCGTCGTACTGTTCAGTTCCAGAAGTACAGCTATCAGTACCAACATCGACAGGGGTGCTGACTCTAAAACTTTGGGCTGCGCTGAAATTCACATCCTCGCTAATGCTTTGGAACATGCTTGGACTGTCTGTTGTGCAGTTTTGCACATCTTCCTTTTGACTTTGAGATGTTTCAGCTAATGGAAGGTCAAACATAGCGGCAGCATTCAGTGCAGGAGATGTTATGGAAGCTCGATTAGATGTCTGTTTTGCTGGTAACATCATGGAGTTCACATTTTGTCCAGATGCTGATGGGCTTGTTGGAATACGTTCATCATGCGTCTCATGACCATCGAAGATATCATACACAGAGACCTTGTCCACCACCACGCTGCTTTCAGAAAGACTCCGCTTCCGTGCTGACAGAGGACCTGTGACTGTGCCTTCCCAATGGAAGCTTTCAATTCCCAAGTCTGTTTCTTCATCAAAGTCAAGACCTTCTTGTTCACTTTGAACCTGTGCCACCATTTCTATACCAAACCTTGAATAAACAAACACAACCTAATTATGTATTCCAGACCTATTTATATTTTAATAATTCATTATATTTTGGCACATGGATAACTTTTGTTGTATTTCGAGAAGCACTGAATAAACTAGAAATTTAAGAATTTGACTGAACAGTTCCAAAATCAAAAACACTCAATCAGTTTTGTCTCTCCTCATTATCCACCCACACCTGCATCGAATTCAGCATCTATAACAGGGATAGATGCTGTGGACTACATCTCTGATAATGCTCTTACAGCCATAATATAGGCAAAGCATCATGGGAGATGCAGACCAAAACATCTGGAGAGGTCGAAGATCGCCTACCCCTGATCTAGAACAATTAAATGTTATCCAGCAACCACCCACATGACACCAAGAGCAGATGACATGCAACACCCACATGACTTATACGTTCAGCAAATATCACTGATGTGGTGTCTTACTCTTGCCTTGCTTATCCATAAGTGGAAAGGAACGGTTTAAAACAAGGAGCTACTAACAAATTCTAAGAAGGGAGAGACTCAGCCATTGTGCAAGTCCCTGTGTGTGTTCATGGCCAGTCACCAAAAGGAAAATTGTATTCTCATTTATATATTACAATATTGCCAAAATAAAAGGATACTGGACTCGTCTTTCATTACTGTTCACCAAAATTTAATAATATAGTCAGTAAATATGTTTAGTACAAACCTTGGCAAACCCTTGCCCAACTCCTGTTTCTTCTTGGTCACATGTTGGATGACCTGTTCCCAGTTTATATTTCTACGCGACGCATTCAGAATCTGCTTCAGAGTTGGTTTGAGCCCAGAATCCTTGTCCGTTTCACTCTTTCGATGACCGCTAACATTTCGGATGCGCCGGGCGCTATTTAGGTTAGGTTCTGGAAGATGTGTTCCAGTTTTGCTTCGTGAACTAATATGCCTGGTCAGATCTCTTTGGAGGGAAGCAGGAAGTCCTAGCTTGCTTAATTCAGGTAAAATTGGACTGGATGACTGATTTACACCTTTTTGTAGTTCAAGGTCTGAAACATTTGCAAGACTTTCAGATTCATGATCATCTTGACCTTGATGAGCGGTCTCACTGTCATCATAAAGAGCCTCTGTATTTGTTTGAGTACTAAAACTTTTGCATGTATGTTGCATTGGTAACATATCATGCTCTGTGTTGGTAGAATTTTTTTCTGGATAGGTTTCAATACTTCCAGGATTATCTTCGGATAAATGACAATTTCTAAGAAATGGGGAGGTGCATTTTGATTGTAACACATTATCCAACTTTGCTCCACTGTCAGCTGGGTGATCGTCACCTGATTCTAATGGATCTTCTGTGAGCTGGTTTTCATCTTTAACAATGTTTGATACTTTAGGTGTTAGGGTGTCTGGACCTACAGATGCATCCTTCATAAAAGAAAAGTAAGGGTTCTGAATGGATTGACTATTTTGCAGCATTTCCTTCGCTTTACGGAGCACATCCCCGAGGGTTTCAACAGGTTCCTTTTGGTCACTTACTTGTGGTTCTTGGATAATTTTTGTTGTATTTCGAGAAGCACTGCGTAACTTAGAGATGTAAGAATTGGACCGAGCAGTTTCTAAATTTAGAGCACTCAATCGGTTTTGTCTCTCCCCAAAAGAAGAAGTGAACTGCAGTTTTACACCTTTTAAAGGATTTCTTTGATCTCTCTTAGAGGTGGAAGATTTCACATCAGGTACATTGAAAACAGGTGGTTTTACAGAAGGCATTCTAGGGCTCTTAGGCTCACATTGCTCAGCCTTATCTTCCTCAGGTTTATCACAAATATCAGGCATAACTTGATCTTCCATCGTATTTACCCTGTCCGCGTTTTCTATTTGGTCTTTTTTTGGTTCATTGTTGCTGAATTCTGTAATTTCAGAAAGTAAATCGTTTTCTAGAGTTTGTTGGATTTCCACGCCCTTTTGTGATGGGTATGGAGTCCATCTGTATGGTTTATCTTTCGAACAGTTATTGGCTTTGCCTGGACAAACTAATGGTTTCACTGTGGAAGTAATACTGGGTTTTTCCAATAACTCTGACTCAAAAACATTTTCTTGTGGAAGTGTATCACTGGAAAGTTCCTCGTGCTTTCTTGAGTTTGTATCTGAATTTAATAACGTTTTACGATTACTGCTGCTGTTTTCTGTTTTTTTCCAGGTGAATCTCTCTTTACTGAACTTATTACAATTTGTCGTATTCCACCCTGGATCTTTTTCTTGTGTTGAATCACAATGCCTTAGATTTCGGTTTCTTCCTTGTGGAAATGTATCGACATTGCCACCAAAATTCCACGGTTTACCTTTGTATGGATTAGGCTGCCAGTTTCCTACACAGTTTCTAGGGGGCAGGACAGGAAAACTACTATTTCCGTCATGGTGCCAATGAAAGTTCCTACCTGTGCCTCTATGGTGCCAACTAGTAGGGCCTCCTGTATTTGAGTGCCATGAGCCGCCACCATGGTTCTGATGACGGTTTGATGGACCGTTTAAATGCCAGCCAGGTCGTCCTCTAGAATCAGGAAGATGCCTATGGTTTACGTTTAGTGCAGGATGCTGGTAATTAACCTGCCTAGAATTGGTGAAGCCTTCACTTTGCCACTGCCAGCCCCTCTTCGATGGATCACAGTGCCAATCCTGGGGCCCCCCTTCCTTAAACAAAAGATGGTCCTCTCTTCTCCTCTGGTATCTGTCTTTTTCTTGTTCTTTGGATGTGCAGCAAGAATCATCGGGTCTAAAATATTAAAAAGCAAAAACATATATAAGTATATAAGCTAAAAAGCTCAGTCTTCTATATATAACCACATTATTATAGTCTAGAAACATGTAAAAAGAAACACATTATGACTTACTAAAGTTTGACAACATAAAGAATAAGCTTAAAGGGACACTATGGTCACCTGAACAACTTTAGCTTAATTAAGCAGTTTTGGTGTATAGAACATGCCCCTGCAGCCTCACTGCTCAATCCTCTGCCATTTAGGAGTTAAATCCCTTTGTTTATGAACCCTAGTCACACCTCCCTGCATGTGACTTGCACAGCCTCCCATAAACACTTCCTGTACAGAGAGCCCCTAGGCTTTCTTTATTGCAAGTTCTGTTTAATTAAGATGTTCTTATCCCCTGCTATGTTAATAGCTTGCTAGACCCTGCAAGAGCTTCCTGTATGTGATTAAAGTTCAATTTAGAGATTGAGATACAATTATATAAGGTAAATTACATCTGTTTGAAAGTGAAACCAGTTTTTTGCTTCATGCAGGCTCTGTCAATCATAGCCAGGGGAGGTGTGGCTAGGGCTGCATAAACAGAAACAAAGTGATTTAACTCCTAAATGACAGTGAATTGAGCAGTGAAATTGCAGGGGAATGATCTATACACTAAAACTGCTTTATTTAGATAAAGTAATTTAGGTGACTATAGTGTTCCTTTAATGTTTAAGCTATGAAAATGGTTTAGAACTGCAGTGATTTGTAAGAGGTAAGCCTGTCCTTCTGTAAGCCCTGGATGAGATTTCGAGTTTGCCCAGTTTCATTTAGTCAAAATTTTGCATGCAAGGACTGCTGCAAAACTTGGGCTGATCCTTCACCCTCCCCTAAAAAGAGAGCGGATAGGCAGATTGTGCAGGCTAAACAATGAAGAAGACTGCGTGTAAATGGATAGCAGCCATCAATTTACAAAACAGTTCCACTCATGCTATGTGAGAAGCTGAACTACTTTTTGGGATAAGCTACTCATTTGTAATACTGAGCAATGCGAAGTTACTTTAAAAAAAAAAAAAAAAAAAAAATTATAAATAATTTTTTTGATTCTTTATTTTTGTTCCTCTTCAATCCCTCTCTCAGAATCGATTCTTCTTTCTTTAAATCTGATCCAGGTTTCTTTAAAACATAAGATAAAACGGGGACTACTTTGTCTTGTGTATTTTTCCTAAGCTTGACTTCCTGTGTCAATGAGAAGGGGGATTACTTTCTTTACCCAGGAAATTGAGCCGACTCTAGCCCTCCATGGGTCAGGGAATGTCAGTCGTAGGAAAAATACATAAGGCAAAGTAGGCCCTACTTTATCTTGTGTTTTACAGATCAGATCCGAAATAAAGAAAAGAAGATCAGATTCTGAGAGAGAAAGAGAAGAGGAAACAATAGGAGAAAGGTAAGTTCGACATGACAGTGCTGCTTTAAACACGGTTATAAGATATGAGCAAGGGATTGCACCTATTCAGCAATCTACAAATCATGACTCACTTCAGGCTTTCTAATTTCCTTTCCTGCAGCATGGACGTCACACTAGTTTCTACAACTGCTGAAAGCCATTTGATACCTGCATTTTCAGGTCACCGTCTTTGCCCTCATGTTGCCAATTTTTCAATTTTGCTCAAGTTAAGACATTATGCGAACTCTGAACTCCTAGTTACTGTGGCTTGTTCAAATGATTTAAGTGATGTTTCAGACATATTAGACTCTGAGCATATATCTTGCTACTTCTGTCTGTATGTCTGCTTGCCATGTGTTTTATTAACACCTAAAAAGTGCTGTATCTTTAAAAATGAAACCAGTATTTTCAATTGGTGTACCTCAATCCCCTCCATATTGTCTCTTGGAATGTTCAAATCTGGAGGGATAATGAATGTGTGAAATCCCTTACCATCAGAGGCAACAGGGGGGAAGGGGGAGCAGCTAGCTTCTGGTCAAATTAGAGACCTGGATTTTGTTAGAGAGACACTCCAGGCATCCAGACCACTTCTGCCCACTGGAGTGGTCTGGGTGCCAACTCCCACTACCCTTAACCCTGCAACTGTAATTATTGCAGTTTTTATAAACTGCAATAATTACCTTGCAGGGTTAAGTCCTCCCCTAGTTGCTGTCTTATAGACAGCCACTTCCTGGTCCATAGCACAGGTTTTCTGTGCTATAGCGTCGCTGGACGTCCTCACGCTGTGTGAGGACATCCAGCATAGCTAAAATCCCTAAAAATTCCTATGGAGAAGTCTAATGCGCATGTGCAGCATGATCAGTCTCCCCCGCCAGCTGACGTAATGAAGGGGAGGAGCGGCGGCGGAGAAAGAAGCAGCGACGTGGGACATGTCGCTGCCTCTGGTAAGTTACTGAAGGGGTTTTCACCCCTTCAGCAACCGGGGATAGGAGGTGGGAGGGAGAGGGGACCTGCAGTGCCAGGAAAACGGATTGTTTGCCTGGCACTGGAGAGTCCCTTTAAGTAAAAAAATAAATAAATGGTTCTATAATGTTGCAAAGAAGTCACCTGTCAATGCACACACTTAGGACATTGGCTTAAACATTCTGAAGGTTTTAAAACCAATCCTTTAGTGACTAACATCAAAAGAGTATTTTTGTCTTTCCTCCTTTGCCATCTATGATCCTTGTACATCCCACCCCTCACAGATCTTTAGAGAGAACCCAAGCCGTGGCAGTACTTATGCATAGTAAGTGGCTTGAGAAAAGGTTATTCCACATTCCTAAAACTGTTAAAGAAATGTAGCTGAGCTCTGTCTTCTATCAGCTTATTGAACAGTTCCAGTTGTTAGATCTGACTAGTGTAACTGCAGCTGTGAGCTGAACTACCACTGATTGGAGGAGACTCATTTTGGTCTGGGAGGGAGCAGTCTGTCCCCTGGGCAAGTGCAGCAGTTTAAGGGAACTGTAATGATAACCCTTTCGTCATTATTCCTTAATTTAATGCATTACCTATATGATACATGAATTGTCCCTTTATAGTAAAAAAAATAAATTAAAAAGATACAAAATTTAAAAATGTATTGTGAATATGCACCTTATATAGGTTGGTGAGCAAGAGACACCAACATGTCTATCGAGTCCCCAACACAGTTTATATACACAGGACAGAGTTAGCAAGTCTCAAGATGACTGAGCATCCCTCAGCGCGCGCACACACGCCAGCCCCCGTCTCCCCCCAACACACACATATATACACACACACACACACACACACACACACAACAGCTCCTTGTCAGCCCCAACACAAACAGCCCCTGTCACCCCAATGCAAAACAAAGCCCATCATCACCAACACAATCAACAGCCCTTGTCTTCTCCCCAACACAGACAACAACCCGTCTCCCGCTTTAATACACATAATAGTCCCCATTTCCCCCTAACACACACATACAACAGGACCTGTCTCCCCCCCCTAAACACACAATAACAGGACCTGTCTCTTCCCCCCTAAACACACAATAACAGGACCTGTCACCCCCCCTAAACACACAATAACAGGACCTGACTCCCCCCCTAAACACACAAAAACAGGACCGGTCTCCTCCCACCACACACAAAAAGGACAGGACCGACTCCCCCCCAAACACACAAAAACAGGACCGGTCTCCTCCCACCACACACAAAAACAGGACCGGTCTCCTCCCAACACGCACAAAAACAGGACCGGTCTCCTCCCAACACACACAAAAACAGGACCGGTCTCCTCCCAACACGCACAAAAACAGGACCGGTCTCCTCCCAACACACACAAAAACAGGACCGGTCTCCTCCCAGCACACACTACCGTCCCATGCCTCCTACACACATACACTACCGTCCTTACCCTTCCACATACATACTCTACAGCCCCAAATCCCCACCTACACACACACAATCCCCCCCATACAAACGCTATCCCGTCAAACACACTATGCAGCCAATATCCCATACAAACATGCACCACAGCCCCCTATTGATATACAGCACTTATTTATATGCACATACAAACTGCACCGGAAACAGCATCTCCCCATATACAAATTGCCACAAGTAGCATCTCCAAAAACAAGCAACCCCACTAGTAGGCACTGCCACACACACACACACACAATATTTCTCTCTCTCTCCCCCCTCTCACGCCCCCCAGTCCTGTAAGATTTATCAATCAAGCATTAACCTAGAAAAAAAGGGAATTTGGTGCACACCCAGAACATGCATTTCTCACAAGTGGTGCTGCCACAGAGACAAAACTTATACAAATGATGGATTAATGAACAGCACACACACAAAAATACAGTTTTACATATTACAAGGCTACCAAAAATTCTTTATTTTTAGCAAACATATAGGGGTTTCAGTTCCACCATATGGCCATATTGTGTTAAGCCCACCACTACACGACAGTACAACAATATTAATTTCAATGTGGTAGACAAATTAAATAGTGCTAGTGCCCAAAGAACTAAAGTGTATTTAATTAACACTATCACTTTAATTGTTTAGTTTTGACACTGCATTTTTTAAATTACGTTTATCACAATAATTTTGCATTATAATATTCACAATGCTCTTACACCAGATTAAATACACTTTAGTTCACTTAGCACTATTTAATTATTAGGTAATTATTTTACTGTATTTTTGTGTTTGCTGTTCCTTAACCAGTATTAAGAATTAACCCAGTCACATTCACCATGCAGTCAAACCCCAAACTAGTTGCATTTACACATCAAATGCAATACAAACATCTAGACGTATTTACTCATCTTATCACACTCAAGGCTAGTTGCAAACACCAAATGTTTTTTGAGAAATATATAGATATGCACCCTCCCCTATATACAGGGTAGAGATTTTTTGTAAGCTTCCACACAGTATGTGGTTACTAGCAGCTTTAATTATGATCGTTACTTTTGGACTTAGCAACCACGGTGGCATGTTTAATCATGACTCCACGTATGAGTTGTTCCGTCATGTGGTTTCTCCGGGCACTTCCGAGTTTGAATAGGTCTGCCTACATGCACTATTGGTAGGTCACTTCTTATTTTTGTATAAATTAAATTGCTTTTACACGGTCTGTAGATCTTGAAAAGGACCAAAATAGGTAAAGATGCTGTCATTTCGAATATTATATTAAATACAAGTGTTATTAATAAGACTTTTTACAATATTTTATATATACACACACCTTTCTCTCATACATACACACATATATATATATATATATATATATATATATATATATATATATATATATATATATATATATATATATATATATATATATATATATATATATATATATATATATATATATGGGGGTGCATTGAGAAAACTGGTTTTGGGCAGCAAGGAGGTTAAATCTGGCCTTACTTTCTTGTGTAGGAACTAGGGAGGGCAAAATCTAAGCTTTGCTCAATCTTATGATAGGAGGTAGTCATCTTAGCCATTTCCCACCCATTGGGGAGTGAAAAGTCTCTGACCAATCAACTATGCAGTTATTTAAAGCATAGGAGGTAGTAACTGGAAACCGAGAACATTGGGAGCTCGACAGAATGAGACTCAAACAGAGGGCCTTATTTGCAATAAAGCACCTTTAATAATTACAAGTATGTAAATGTGCAATGTATGGGAGAATGAGGACAGTCTGATTAGTAATCACGTTATAGAATGGAAGTATAAACAAAAGTGTAGTAAAGGAAATTTCATTTAACAAGATGGCATGAGAGAGTTCAGCAACATACAACAAAACTAATATTATAATAAAACCTTTACTAAAGGAACTGTTGCAAACACAGAAGGATCTTATCTCGTTTTACAGCAGAAAAACTACATTTTGGTGCCTGAACAATCTCTAAACTAGACCATTGTATCACTCCTCTCCAACAAGAAAGACATAACATAAACCGCATTATATGCCTTATAAAACATCATAAAAATAAATAAAATAATAAAAGGGCATACTAAATAAATCAGTCAATCAGGTGTTGAAATGTCAACTCACCGGTTTTGTTCTCTCCTTTGGTTAATTAACTGGACAAGTTCCTTGTCAAAGTATTCTTCTTCGTCTTCATCTTTTTCTTCTTCTTTTTCCTGGGCATCAACATTATCTTTGTGCAGCTGGCTTGAGATGTGTTTAGCGTATGTTGAGAGGCCCACCACCGTCACTCTGCATACCCGGCACTCGTGGCTGCAGTCTCTGAGGGAAGAGGCAGAAGGAGGACATTCAATCTTTCCTACTGGCATTTTTGACAATATGTGAACTGTACTGTGTTTCCTTAAAGGGCAGAGTCTCCTTGAACGGTCAGTAGATAATCTCGAAACTTTATGTAACAGAGAAAGCTTGCTCAGTAATTACTTCCCACCATGCATGTACTGAAAAACTTCTCTATCAGAAAGAGTGTCAATATCTTGTAAGTTGTACTACTAAAAAAATGAAAAAAAAAAGGATAGATTTTTCTCCAACAATCAAGAGGCAAAAAAACTTATTTAAAAAAAAAAAAAAAAAAAAGGATATCTTCTTTAATTGTTGTACTGAAAATCATGCCCAATGAGGATACACAGCATAGTGGAAGGAGGTTGGGTAAGGGAAGGGGGCTCGCAGAGCTAGCCACTCCAGCTCTGCAGCCCATGCATGGTGCCAGCTGCTGTGAACAGCCTTGGTGACAGTTACTGCTTTTATCAGCTACATCGAAACACCCTCTACAGGGACAGAAAAGGCATCGGGGGTGGGAATGGGGCCTATCACTGGGGAGTAACATGACCCCGGACAGCTGAAGCACAGGTTGGGAATGTGAAAACTCCAGGCTCACAGCATATGATCATACAGGCTGCCTAGTATCAAGCAAACTGAATTTAGCCACAAGATATGCATTATGCTACAGAAGACCAATTCAGTGGGTGGATAGAAGCCTTGACAGACAAATGTTTGCATCTGTGCATTCCTGTATAGCAACAGAGTTTTCTTATGTGAATCTGTTACATTAGATGTATTTTACAAATGTGGTCTAATAATTAAAAGAAAGTAACATTCTAGTAATTACTATGTACAGTATACTATATTTGGATATAGATATATAAACAGTAACAAACGTAATTCAAGTACAAATATGGCATAAAGCTACTATAATGCATTCCCTATCACATTTAAAATTATTAGGATTTTAATTACAAGGACCAACATTTTATGAAATGTTGTGTAGTGTGAAAAGAGAATCAAATTATTTGCAGAATAAATAGAAAAAAGTAAAAAAATAAAATAAAAAAAAAAGTAATGAGAGCTCTGTTTCAACAGAGTTTACATTCCAAATGGTGTGAATGAAAGGAAACAAGCATAGGTTAAATAGATAATATATATTTCCACTTAAGAGCTATAGACTGTAAGCTTGTTTGAGCAGGGCCCTTTTCAACCTATCGTTCCTGTAAGTTTTCTTGTAATTTTCCTATTTATAGTTAAATCCCCCCTCTCATAATATTGTAAAGCGCTACGGAATCTGTTGACGCTATATAAATGGCAGTAATAATAATAATAATGAGGGTTTCTCCAAGCACCATGACCACTTCATGGATTTGAAGTGGTCTTAGTGTCTATAGGCGAAGTATTTAATGTGAAAAGCTGCACATACAGAGACTAACCCTCCACCTCTGGTGCGTTAATACCCAGCCCTGAACTAGAGTTCTGGGTTAATATCAATTCTGTGCAAAACTGGCACAGCATGCTGGCTACAGAAAGCACATGGAGGCACCTCTTTCCCATGCCACCCATGCCCTACCTTCACTTCTGCCAAGGAAGAGTAACATCAGCCTAGGAGGAGCAGGCTTCAGGCAGAACTAGGTCTTGGCGTTGGAAGAGTTAAGTTTTAGATTTTTTATTTTTTTTATTATAAAGTGTGGGGGGGTGGGGAAGCACTTCAGAAAAGGATACTCTAACCAAAACCAGTGTTTTATGAAAACACAGTTTTTTGGTTTGAGTAACCCTTAAATGAATAAAATCAGGTATTTTATTATCCTACTACATTACAGATAGCAATGGCTCCTGAGAACCATGGGAAATATGCACAACAATTGGAAAGTCATTGGTTTAACCCCTTAAGGACCAAACTTCTGGAATAAAGGGAATCATGACATGTCACACATGTCATGTGTCCTTAAAAGGTTAAACTATGGTTAGGCAAAACAGATTCTCACAACATAGCCGTACTGCACTCAAAAGAACGTAAAGGAAAAAAAAAAAAAAACACATATCATAAGAACAAGCATCCTTGGAGTGCAGATTTATTACAATATTACAAACAGGGCATGGCCGTCATGATAAGCAGCGGTGATAGGAATTGTAGCCAGCACATCTTTGCACGGGGCATTAAAAAAAAAATGGTTGGGGGAGAGTGGGGACACTAAAAAAGCTGCTCAGGGAAAGACCCTCATTAAGCCTGATAAATCGACAAAACCACTATTTTTTGGCAAGCAGCATTGTGGAGGAGATGACACAGGTAGACACCACAGCCAGCTCAAAATCACCACAGGTCCAGCTTCCACCCTTGCCTCCAATTGCCTAGGCTGCGAACCAAATAGGGCCATATCCCCAAAACACATAGCTTCCCTGTTAGAGGGTTCCAGCTCTGCATTGCTGGGAGAATGAGGCGGTAGGTTATCAACTACCAGGTCCAGATGCTGCTAGATTCCAGGGAGCATCACACTGGATTGCACTAAAAGTTGGGGCCGGTAGGGCGACCCTCTCGGATAATTTGACTCCAGTTTCCGAGTGGCAGTGGCTCTCCCTCTGCAGGTATCTGCTGAGTGGGTCACAGATCCTATCTACAGCAATGCTTATTAGACTTTATTACTTTGTGAATAGTTCCAGTTATGATTATATTATTTTATTAATAATTGTATTAATAAAATACTTAACGAGGCTCTATAGTGTTAGGAACACAAATGTGTATTTCGAACACTTTAGTTCTAAAACAACCGTCATCTTACATTGAGTTAGAAAGATCATTTACTCATCTTTTTCCAGCACCGCATCTCAGCCAATCACAATGCTTTCTCATAGGAAACCATTGGTTTGGATGAGAGAGTCAATTCTGATGATCTCAGCCAAGGTGGCCTATTACCATCTTTTCATAGATGTGCACTGAATCAATGCATCTCTATGTGGAAAGTTCATTGGGGGAAACGTCAGTGCTGCACACCATCTGAGGAGTGGCCACTAGGTGTTCCTGGGCAGTAATATAAACACTCCCTTTTCTCTGAAAAGACAGGGTTTACATGTAAATGCCTGCAGGGGCTGGCTATACTTACCAGAACAACTACATTAAGCTGCTGTTGTTCTGGTGACTATAGTGTCCCTTAAAATTACAAAACAAAAATCTAAATTAAACACACTGTGCAATAAAGGAAATTTAAACATTAAATCTCTCTTTAAATGTACAGGGAGACTGTCTAGGGGAAGTGTGGCTAGGGCTGCATAAACTAAGTGATTTAACTTTTAAATGGCAAAGAATTGAGCAGTTTGACTGTGGGGGCATAATTTATACACCAAAACCCATTTCATTAAGCCAACATTGTTTTGGTGCATAAATTGTCAGTTTAATTATTTAATAGTGACTGATGAAAAAGGAACATCTACCAGTCTAACAAAAGAAAGGAATATGGGAGATGAGGGCTGCGCCAGAGAGACTTTATATCAAACAATAATAACAGATAGTCCAAATAAAAAAAAAAGAGTCTTATCTAAAATGCTCTTATTGGGATCGGAGAGTCTATAAGGTACTTGGTCAGAAACAATGTCCTCGCTGTCCTCATCCATGTAGATCCACTCATATGCAAGAGAAAACAAATAGAGAACCAAGTAGTGCGATAAGTCCAGTAATAAAACAAAATAAATATAAAAGGCTGGTATAAAAACGCACATGTACAAGAGCTATAGCTAGCTCTAGTGCGAAAGGCGTACAACGGTACAATCCCCGCTTATGGGATATGGGGTAAACTTCCTCCATCAATTGTATGTTCGACACTCAAATAAAAAGAGACAACCAATAGTGCTCATTGGATAAAATTATGAAAATAAAATATATAAAATGGTACTCACAAGGAAGGAGCAGACCAACTGCTCCTTGATGATAGTGTTGGTGGTATGATCCCCACCCAGGATTACTTTGAGTCCAGGGTGATAAAATGCCAGGTAAAAAAACAATCAGAAGTGTATAAAAAGGTAAATGGCACAAATAAAAAGTGACCAAATAATCTTTAATATATAAAAATACACAATATAAAAATTCCACAAACGCGTTTCGCCAATACGGCTATAGCTCTTGTACATGTGAGTTTTATACCAGCCTTTTATATTTATTTTGTTTTATTACTGGACTTATTGCACTATTTGGTTCTCTATTTGTATCATCTCTTGCATATGAGTGGATCTATACGGATGAGGACATCGAGGACATTGTTCCTGACCAAGCACCTTATAGACTCTGTGATCCCAATAAGAGCATTTTAGATAAGACTCTTTTTTTATTTGGACTATCTGTTATTATTGTTTGATATAAAGTCTCTCTGACGCAGCCCTTATCTCCCATATTTCTTTCTTTTGTTGTACTTTAAGGGATTCCGTTATAGGGTTGCTGCCCCATTTGTTATTTAGCGCTTACTCTTTTTTCCTGTTTTATCTACCAGTCTAAACCTAACATTTGAGGTTTAGTGTATTGATCACAAAATGATCAATGGTAAAGAAACATTCTTACATGAGATTTGAGGTTTTGTTTTTTTCTGTAGTTACTGAAGAAAACAATACCTGTGGCAAAAACAGAAGGTGAAGGAGAAAACAGGTTATTGAACACAAAACGGGTCTATTAACACACATAGCATAGGTGAAAAGTAAGGCACCAAAATGTTTGTCAGCCTAAATTATCCAAGTGTTCTTCTAAAAAGTAGTGTTGGCAGCAAAGTCCAACTGAACACATGCCTTGTCTTGATTAAAATCCATTAGAAGGATGACACCCCAATGACGACCTTTGAATTTTATAAGTCAATCTTCCCTTCCACTTTCAGCTGCTTAAGACTGAACTAATAAACTGTTCAGCTGTAGAACAGCTGATGGTGAACAGAGAATACCACGCCAGAACCATCATAAAAGAAAAATAATGAAGGTTTATAAAAAATATTTAGGAAATGAAAAGCATTAGACAGTCCTTTACCTTGCAATATTTCGCACAGGGTCTGAAATTTTAGTATAACAAAAAATAGATAACTATGGTCAAATACCTTGCTTATAGGTATTTGTAAGGACACTGAAGGTGGCATTACTAGCAGAACAGCTTAAGAAAAATGGCAACAGAGAATAATGCCCACACACACTGTAAATACAGTTACATCAGATTTCTGCCAAGTTTAGGAGAGGAAGAAAAAAATTAGACAAAACCTTTACATAGACTCAATGGAGTAAGTAAGTATCTGATCCTACAGCATAAGAGCCCTATTAGCTTGGGGGATCAAGAAGTTAACAATACACTTTTCACACTATAGTATTGAACCTCCAAATTTCTGCATAAGGCATTCCCTTCTGTCCCACAGGAATGCTGGAGATGTGGAAGGGAGGAAGGCTCAATTAAGACACATTTGGTGGGATTCAACCATATTGGCAGATGGTTAAGGGACACATTCACAGAGATAGTATAAGCCCCTCTCTCTTTGCATTCAGAAACGTCCTTTTACATATCACACCTTTTCTGATATCCAAACATAAACATTAAATATTGAGGCACCCCCGAACGCAGCAAATGGGATAGTACTTGTCCTTTGGAAGAGCCCAGAAGCACCTTTTAAAAAACTCTGGTTTGATAGGGTCGAGGAAATCAGAGCAGCCATATGGCATAGTTGAGGGGGACGTGAGCAAAACATGCAGAGCAATGATACCACTGGGATGCATACATGTACCGTTACGAGAACCTCCCTGGGAAGGCTGAAGAGAAGGAAAACTAGATGGCGGATGACCATGAGATGTTCTGGTGGGGCGGAAGTGGGTGTATCGGGAGGCGCGCATGCAGTGATGGGTCCTTTCTCTCTTTTACTTTACTTTTCACTGGCAAACACTGCTGAGCTGACTTACATGCATGTGGACAGTAACTAGCTATTCTCTTCAGAGAGATAATTACTAGAGTGCATTTGAGAGTAGTCATGTAAGTTCAACTGAAAATAACCGTAATAAGTAATGTACACTTAACCTGGCAATATGATCATATTACTCTGTTTCATTCCTATTTTTATTTCTTTACTATTTGTTACTTACATTCTGATGATAAATTAAAGATTGTCAAAAAAACAAAACAACAATCTTCATCAAGCTCTGGAACACTAACCTAGTGCTAACAGTGAATTGTTCATTCACTCTTGCACCCCTTCCTGACTGCAGGAATCATATTATCCATTGAAACTTCCTTTACGGTTTGGAAACAGGTCAAGTTGGCATTTTGCATTATACCAGTGGCTTCTGTCAAGGAAATCAGTTCCCCTACAGGCTGTTAATCATAACTATGGTACAAATGAGAGCTAGTAAGGCTTTGTGGACTTAATTTAATTCTAAAAAAAAAGAAAACATGGAAAAAATAAAATTATATTGAATTCTTGTAGTGAAGTGGTTTAATAGGCAATTGGTCAGGTATAGCAGTAATATAAATATAAAGGTAAAACAAAAGCAATACTGCTAACATTTCATAGCTCTTTATAATGGGCATATAAAACTGCAAACAAGTTAATAATTTGTTATGAACAGAGAAACAAGAGTTGACGGGCACCATGCTGAAACAAGAAGAAATAGCCAAGACTAATGCTTTTATCTAATCAAACCCTTCACCACACTAAGCAGCTTGCAAAAACAAACCACTAGAATCAGTATTTTGAGTGTCCTGGAAAGTTCACCAGAAACTAAACACAGTGGGCAAAATGTATGAGATCAATGCCATATGGACACTTGCTGCAAAATAACAAGTTCATTAAAATGCATAAATGCATGGTCTGACTATAATTTGAAATAGGTTTTTATAAATCAAGAGCCGTTCAACGTAAATTAAGAAAAAGGACATTACATGCAAATGAGCAGAGTTATACAAAGCCAGGAGACAAGCAAGGCTGTTGGGCAGGTCAGTAGTCCAGAAGGTCATGCCAAGTGTATGGGCAACTTGCCAAACTTGCATGCAGGCTGTGACATAGCTTAGTCTGTAGATAATAAATGGTATCTGTGCATCCATTGGTAGTTGAATTGTGTACCTGAGAGAGATCCAGTATCCTGTGTTGGCAGAAAGGGGGGACAACCACAGAGAGAGCTTAAGCAGCAAACAAAACAACGGTGAGTTCTGGCTCGTTTTGATCTGCACGACAACCTGTTCTTCTAAAATATTAGTCCCCCCATTGTGTTGGACTCATTTGCCCACATTTACAAATTGCAGGATAAATAAAACAAGGTTATCACTAATGTCTTATAGCTTGTCTGCACCATAGTTAAATCTCTGCCACTCTACTAGGTAATGCATTACTGCTCGGTACACAGCAACATTGGTTGATAAGTTGCCAGCTGATGGAATGTAGATTCTAGGTAACACATTACTGCTCGGTACACAGCAACATTGTTTGATACGTTGCCAGCTGCGGCGGTGTAGATTCAGTATTGAACAATGCAGAGTTTTACAAGGTTGTCATTTGTTTCCACAAACAAAGGACACAGACGAATTATGTTGGGCATGACAAAAAAGTGCTGCCTGGCCAAATGTTGAATTCCTGAGTTCTATTACAAAATCAATTCCCATGTTGGACTGATTTCATATCAAGACCACATGACTACACCCCTATTGGGTGCTCGGCAGACATTTCTACCGTACTGATTTAATAAAGTCCAAGAAAGGAAAAAAATAAATAAAAAAAAATACTTGGTAACGTACCTGCTTTATGTCAAGCCTTTCCCCTTCCATGTTCCACAGTCTAGCCCCAATCCAAAAGAAATCATATAACATTTAAGAAGCTCTAAGCACCACTTTACTTTTTCACTCCCCTCATTTCAAAAGCTGCCGAACTCTAGAAAAGTGTCACAGGTATTACTGTAACAGATGATTTCACATGTGGATGGGAGGAAAACACATTTCATGCAAAGAATAAGTTGCAACAAAATTAGCAAACTGGGGACAAATACATGACAGATTAAATCCTATAATATTCAGATACCATGCTGATACATTGGGAAGATTCAAAATAAGCATTGCCCAAATCGATTAAGTACAATCTTAAAACATGAGGTTGTGAATATAATCGTTAACTGATCAAGTAAAAAAACTTCACAAGTCAAAGGACTAAGACATTTCCAAGCCAATTTCCAAATAAAAGCCTTCTCTGGCGATGATATTGCAAAGACATTAAGAAACCGTGAAACAGAAATTTACTTACACAATGCGCAATAGATGCACATTTGGCATTTTCAATGTAGTGAGCAAGATTGTCCGTGGAAGATCCAACACTTTCATTTTATTCTTTTGTACTTGTAAAAATATACACTAGTGACACAGTTCCTGGAAAATGAAGACCAGGACCAAGAAGAAGACTGCAAAACACTAAGAAGGAAAGAAACTCCAGTATAAACCACTTCCACCCCACTGCCCCACCATAGAAGTGCACATCACCCTAAGTGGGTCTTGAAAAACGCCAAAGATTCCCAAATGTAACAGTTCCACTCAACCAAGCCATAGCCAGCTTAGCTGTTATCACCATCTGACATGGGGAGATGTCTGCTTTTGGAAAGCTTTGTACATTTCTACTCAGAAAAAAAAAAAAAAAACATTCAAAATTGTAAGTTGCAGAGCTGGTCTAAGCTGTAAATCCTTTATTTGGCTTTAAAAGAGAAGGAACAGAGCAGGACTTGGTGGTGGAAACCTCATTTCTAATGCCACAAGTACTTTAAGTCTATTAAAATGTTCTTTCCAGCTAAATTTAAATGTATTTCAGACATGATGAGAAATATCCTCATCGGAAGACCTATTAATTTCTAGAAAATATTTGAAGGCAGAGTAGAAGGGGTGACGGAAAGGTTGCATAGTTGACAACATATTTCAAACCAAAAGACCTGTATAATACAGTACATTTGGTGAAACAGTTGTATCTCTGGTATCTGCTGCCTGGATTATGAAGCAATGCTACCAATTTTGAAGGGTGGAACAACATATGGATATCTGAGATTTCACACCTCTTTAGTACAAGTCTAAACACAGCTGTACTGCCCACGAAATTATTATTATAATTTTTTTTTATATTCTCAGAACCACTATATAATAGTTTTACATAGTTTTAGGTCGACAGAACTGTGTAGTTTTCAAGAAAAGGCTTTAGACTAGAGGTTGCTTAATAATTAAAGTGCATGAAGTGCTTTTACTTTGGATAACGCTAGCCATTTCCTAGCATACTTTATGTAGTTTTCTTTAGAAACTGTGTGTGGTTTTATCTCCGAGTACATTGGAGTACACTTATTGACAAATGGCTTAATAAGATATCATTTATCAACATGGTATAAGTGTCCGATTAGTGCTTTAATATTAGAATGGAATTTTTGATATATCCTAAATAGTCTTGCAAAAATGCTTCTTTCCGGTTATGTTTTTAGCAATTTTAATCAATGCGACCCATCAGATTTCTTATTTTACACAAAAAAAATCAGGCCAATTCCTTTAGGAATTTATTGCCATATATCGATCAAAAATGCTATATTCTTGCTTTTACTCATGCTGTATTTCACAATGCATGTGCATAAGTGTTAAGACTCCTATTTGCTTGTACGAACATGCTTATGTTACAACCTGCTACACATTTATTACCTTCCCCTTAAGTTCTCCAGTTCCCTGTGATGAAGCATACTGCGCATGTGCCCATCCATTTCCTATAAGAGACACAAAGGCACAAATAAAGATAAATACATAATTTAAAAAGCAATACTTTAGTTTCATAACTACTGAAGTGGACCAGTCGTCCCCATCTGGATGGCAAGTTACATAGAATGTATACATTGTACTAATCATATATCCACCAAATGCATATAAAAACACGGTATACATTGAAAAGGGACTACAGTTTGTCTTCTTTAGGAAAATATCTGCTCAATTCTCTATTGTGTGTGTGGCCATGCATTACTGGGTGAGTGAGAAAGCATCTCAAAGATTGGCAGAGAAGTATTTACTATTTCTTTTTGTCCTGCTCCTGCAATGCTTCTCTATGAGAAACATTGTCTTCCACTGTGTGCTTGGGCACCAAGAATTCTCCGGGCTGTCTGACTGACAGGTGTGAGGGTCAAACCAAGACACTTTAGAAAAGTGGAACGTTATGCTAACCCTCAAGCAAGCCTAAATGATTTAGTGGTTTTGGGATTGCCCGCTTATTGAGTTTATTTCCATTGAGCTAATCAAACCAGGAAGTTATAGTGCCAGCTGTCTGACAGCCAGGGGGTGTAACAAGATTACAGGGACACTATAGTCACCAGAACAACTACAGCTTATGTAGTTGTTCTGCGGTCTATAGTCTGTTCCCACAGGCTTTTTGTTGTAAACACTGTCTTTACAGAGAAAGGGCAATATTTACATTACAGCCTATGGACACTTCCAGTGGCCATTCTTCAGATGGCCACTGGAGGTGCTTAATAAATCAGTGCTGCACCGTGTGCAGTTCTGCATGGAGATGCTCAACTTTGCTCATAGAGATGCATTTATTTTATGCATCTCTACGAGGAGATGCAGATTGGCTAGGGCAGAGTTGGGCTTAGCTCCCACCCTGCCTCCTTGGCTGAGTTCATCAGCATTGACAATTTCAGCCGATCCAATGCTTTCTTATTCTGATGATGTCAGCCAAGGAGACGGAATGGGGGTGAAGCTAGCGCCGCCGGACCCGCGCTGAACTAAAAGGTAAGTCAACTAACCTTTAGCATAGGTTGCAGGGGGGCTGTCCACCTAAACCAGCTTTTCAGAGTTATAGTGACAGGAATACAGTTTTTTTAATATGTGTTATTAATTGTGTAATATAGTTTACAGTGTCCTTTAAAAAATATAAATAAATAAAATTATGTGGCTGGATGAATCCCAGAAGAACACAATACCCTGGTGTTCTGTCCAGCTTCTAAGAACACAGTAGTTAAGGGATGGCGTTAGATATTATTTCAGAGGTTAAGGGATGGCTTTAGATATTATTTCAGAGGTTAAGGGATGGCTTTAGATATTATTTCAGAGGTTGGTTTTAAGAGCCAGTTATATTTGGCACTCACATTTGAATCATCGGTCACCAATACTACAACGTAGCACATGACAGCCAAACATGCAGCTCCCACACAATATCAATATAGCACACATGTGACAGTCAGAGATCGCAAACACGCCTTTAACACATTCCCAAGTTGCAGAACACATACTTTATAAAAGCTTATGTCACTATATTGCAGACCAGTGGGGGAAACTGATGTGATGTTGCTGCAACAGCCTAGTGAATAGATTATACAAAGAAACAAATAAAGGCGCTCACTATAATATTAGATGCATTGTAATTATTCTAGTGAATAGATGCAGCTATGCAAAACACTAATTATTGGTGAAACACTGCAATTCTTCTCAAACATTTTTACTATAAAATGTATGCAACAACTTAATTTACAATCTTAGCCTATAGGTCTATACCATTGGGACAAACATATAAACTACAAATCTGATGGCTGCAGCAGAGGTGTGCGCATAGATGGGCTCCCACAATGCCTCTGGCTCTAAGGACTCAGCAAAGACCCAGATACAGGTTAGCACAGCACTGAGCTACACAAAGTGTGCTGTGATTAGAGGGGAGGGGACAATGGAAGTCTGTTTTCATCGTTATCTTTTCCATTATTATTTGTAGCTCTGTGGGTATGCTTAGACTCGTTTTAAAATACATAGAAAAACATTGAACTTTTCACTACATAGAAAGATTACCTTTTTGGTGGTGTATACAATGTGGCACAAGATGCATTTCCGCTCCCGCACCATTGTGGCCACCTAATGGAGACATCAAGCCATGTCTGTGCAAAACAACCAAAACAGAGAAAGATATTTGCAGGTTAGAAATCAGAAGAAATATACATAAACAAGATTTAAACAATACAGGGAGTATACTACCAACATCAAAGGGCATTTAAATATGCAAATCATACACACAAATTAGGATATATATATATATATATAATATATACATACACATAGCCCACAGTAATACAGTGCAAATCACGGTAAAGAAAAAGGGGTTTACTGACCAAACAGTCAACTGAAAATTGCATTTGAGGTGGAAAAAGTGGGGGAATTGAGACGGAAGGGAACTTTTCAATTCAGAGAAAAGGTAGTGTTTACATTGTTGCCTAGTAACACTTCCAGCAGCTGTCACTCAGATAGCGGCGACCATATTTGCAGGACCTATGTTCAGCATCTCCACAATGGATCGCTATGAGGAGATACAGATTGGCATCAAGAATGATGATCTCAGCTGAGAGGGACTCGGCTGTGAGAGAGCAGCACAGCGAGGGAAGAAAGAGGATTAAGAAAGCCATTTTATGTTAGCAGGTCACTATAACATTAGGATTACATATTTGTATTCCTAATGCTATAGTATTCCTTTAAATACACCTCTACTAGTGGTCTTCCTGACAGTCACTAGAGGCACTTCCTTCTCCAGAACAGAGTGAAACTGTCCTGGAATCAAATGCTGCTGATAGCAGTCATGAGGTCTCCTTTGATGTTGACATCAACAGAGGAGGAGCTGGAGGTGGCCCTGGAAAAGAAGTAAGTAGTTGTTAAATACATATTTTTCCCCCCCTCAAGGGGATGGGACAGAAGGAAACCTGTAGTCACGAAATAATTAATGCTATTTTCAGGAGTATAGATTCCCTTTAGCACTCTTCTGCACCAAATCTTATATTCCAGGCTCATCTTTTACTATATTAAATGAGCACTTCAACATAAGAAATAATTTAAAGCATTAAACCTGGATATTAGGTTCTAAGAACATTATTTACAGAGAAAGATTGATTGTTAGTATCTATATTTGTACATTGATCAAAATTGAATTTCAAATTGGTGAAGCTTCCAGAAAAGTGATACTAAACTTTCCTTGTGATTGTATTTTTTTTTTATTTTTATTTTTATAAAATCACCAAAAACGCACAGTACAATACAGTGTTAGTGAATACAGAGTTCAACACAATAAGGTAACACACAGTTATAATAAGGCTGCACGTTAAAGAGAATACAGATTAGAGAGACCAAGTCAAGCATCCATTACAGTGGGTGCAAACAAAGTGTTATCGCCTAAATCAAGTAAACATCAGCGTAAACAATACAAAATACATGGAGAAATAAATATAAAAGACGCATTAATACATTATGTACCATGCCATAAGTGAACCATAGGACTGAACAGGTCCAGATATGCCTGTGGGGCTGGACTGTCATGAAATGCATCTATTGCACTAGTGTATTTATTATGCACGTATAAGAGGATCGTTTTCAATGCGACATTTCCTTGCGGGAATGAAAATATTGTTAGAAATACATAGAATATTAAAAATAAATTATGTAAATGCAAATGAGCAGTGCTGTTAAGTACAGGTTAATCATGATGGTTTTTCAAGAATATCATCTAATGTACCCAGATGTGTAATGGGACTTTCTAGGACAGGCATAGGCAACCTTCGGCACTCCAGATGTTTTGGACTACACCTCCCATGACGCTTTGCCAGCATTGTGGGTGTAAGAGCATTATGGGGGATGTAGTCCACAACATCTGGGATGCTGACGGTTGCAGACACCTGATCTAGGAGATCTAGAGTAGTTACTTTCTTCCATAAATTTTATAGATTTGACTTTTTGAATGCATTCTCACATAGAGAGAGCTAGAGGTTTTTTGTTTTTTTCCAGCAAGTGGGAATAAGTATGTTGGTTGCCGTTAAGAGGTAGGTGAAAAGGGTTTTTTGTGGTTTCGGTATCAGAAAAGGGTACAGGAAAAATAACAGTGTTATTATGATTCAAAAGTAGTACCTTTTCTAGAAGTGCTGGTTCGGAATTAAACAATTGGGATAATTTAGCGAGTCTAAATGATTGTAGGGCAGTAGGTTGCTTGTTCAACATTAAAAGTGGTTAGTGCGTTAATTTCATGTTTATGGAACACAGAGCCTACAGTAAGGTAGGTAGAAGGCTTTAAAAGTTCCAGATTTGAGACCTGGTGGGAATTGCAGATTAGAGGTGGGATGGATGAGGAGAGATAACTCTAGAACCACTGATTTGTGACCACACTCACAAAGTAGGTACAATAGTGGGATTGCATTTAAAAAAAAAAAAAAAGTGTCCCCCCATTTTATTCCAAGGTATAGTGTGGAGCAGGACCTGAAAGTGTATTTTTTGTATTTCCACAGAATCCAATAAAATGTATGAATAACAAAATAAGCATGATTGTTTTAATAATATTAAATAGGATTCATTTTGAAATCAGCACTTCAATAAAATAAAACAGACTGACTCCACGTCAATAGCTAGTTAACAGGTAAAAAATATAAACAAAAACGAATTATTCTTCAGTTTCATTCTAGACTTCGATCGAGCACAAGTTATTACTATAATAATAACTGCAAGTAACTTTACAAATTAGTGATTATAGACAGCATTTTGATGAGGTCACATTTGAAGAAAATAAATATGTGCATAATGTTATTCAGCATACTACAAAAACTATTACAAGCTGGCCCGTTGAGAAAGCATTATCATTTCAGTTTATACAGAAGTATTTGAGTGTTGGATATTGTGGCGGACCTCCCTGTACCCCGCCAAGGGTCCGCTTCCTAGCTGGGGCTGGATAGAGGAACTAGCTCTGTTTGCTCCAAGGCACTAGACGGCACACGGTACTGGGAGCTACTCAGTCCTTACAAAGACTCTTCCCGCTGCATGCTCCACCCTCTGCAACAAGGATTAACCCTTTCTCCACCCAGTACCTGGACAAGACACAGCTCTGGAGGTACAACTGCTTCATTTTATACACAGACCCCCGCAGAGGGCCTCCACTCTTTCAGTACAGGAGGGGGGATGAGTTACAGATAACCATTTCCACTCTGGGAGATACCAACAGGACACAGTTACATACATTAAAACATATTACACCACGGAAAGGAAAGCTTAGGGACTCCGCACCCCGGGAAGGGAAGGGGTCACACAGGTAAAACTTATATGGTCCAAACTAGGGTCCCTGCAAATAGCTGGGCTATCGGATGTACAGAGTCCAAGAAACCATCGTACAAAGTCTGGGTTCGAGGCTCTGTACATCCCCGAAGTTAGTTCCACAGCATTGCTTGGTTTAGTCTGGTGGATTCAAACTTCACGCTTAAACCAAGCAACAGCCAATCAGGAAAAAGGGCGCAAACCAAATCAGGTCAATCAGCACTCAGGGAGGAAAGGCGCGAAACCAGTTTGAATGGGCGTTTCTTCTCAGATTGGTCGTCTGCGCCCTGCAGTGACCAATCAGCGCTTACTAGTGTCGATCAGGAAAATGAGGCAAACCCAGTTTGAATGGGAGCTCCTTTTCCGATTGGTCCGCACGAACTTCCAGGCGGCCAGTGGGACTCTGCAGCCGTGAAGCCGACTCACAGCTACAGGGTTGCCGCTGGGGCTCGCGCCTCTCTCCAGTGGCTACTTCCACTTAGGTAGCTCCAGGGAGAGTGCATTCTGGGCAGCTACAAGCCTGGCCTCATAGCTACCGGGTAGTGAGAACAGTGATTATAGCTCCGTTAGGAGCAGGTAGGGCGATCCAAACCGCCAGTACCCCACCAGTGTCCCCACCAACCTCAGGGACCCGTTCATGGAGTCATGGTGCAAAGACCTCATAAGGGAAGCGTCTCCTTTCGGAATACGAATGCTCCCCAGGGGAGCACTCATTAATAACTTCCCTTGCGGTTTCACACTTACATTGCAGGTGCGAAGGTTCTGACTGATTGGTGAGAACATTCTAATCGGGTACCGGGGTGATCCTCGTTCAGGAGGCAAACGTGTTCCGTTCGTATGAGCGCTCCCGAATGGGGAAAAAGACAATACACGAAATACAAGTGGGCACACATGATACAAGGGGAAAAAACACACGAATAAGCAGTGGGCATGGTACTTAGTGACGGCGGTTCATCATAGATATAATTCTCAATTAGTTGCATCATTTTCTCTCATAAGGCCAGCCTTTAGAGGTCACACATACATAGGAAGGCGTATGTGAGGCTAAATTTTCCCATTGATCAATAGATGAAATGCTTTTACTATTTAAAGCAACAGCTGTAACGGATGAGGTTGTGTAGGGGGGGTGGGGGGAAAGGGCTGGGCAATGCAACAGTTGCTTTTAAGATCAAGATGTCCATTGCTCACCAAGATCTCTGGCTACCAGACCTACAAATAAACTTGTAGGAGAAAGTTAAGAAGTAACTTTCCCTATGGGAAGATAAGAGGTAATATACAGTTTACTACTGAGGTTAGAAATTGGCTATTTTCGACATGTAAATAGTGTGATTATTCATATAGAGAATGAATTCTATTCGGTAAACCAGAGGTTAACAAATGTTAGCAAAATTACCCTGGTAATCAGTAGATAACAGCCTTTCCCTCTCATTTCTTTCCTAGCCAGGAATACAGGACATACAAGTACAGTTCTAGATAAAATAATAAATTTAAAAAGGCACATTATATTTGAAGTTGGATACTGGTATATTTATTTTCAAGTTCAGCTAATGAAAAGCTAGAAATAAGTGCTGGGATAGATATATATATATATATATCCAGATCTTCACTTTGACATGACTGCCTTCTAAAATGCCAAGACATATCATGGATATTAACTTTCCACTATTCCTCTGCCATGTTTGACATACTCCGTAAAGCAAACTTCCAAAACAAAACATCTGAAAGCAGACCCTATCAAAATCCATGTGGGATCATTAAGGGATGATGAAACTAAGGAAGACGGAAATTTGAAAATTATATTAATCTTATATTAAACGGCAAAGGCTGCT